GTGATGCATAAGGCATTTCACGGTACAGCATTTCCTTCCAAAAATTAATTGATCTTGTGTTGCTGCAAATGGTAAAAGGCACAGTACTGAAAATAAAGCAATCAAGAACTCGCATAAAACAGAACGGCACAGCAGCTATTTTCAGTCATTTTCGTTTATAAATCTAGCTATAATTTAAATAAAATAGAAAAGTTGATAAGCATTCTCTCCCATTAGGAATGAAGGAACTAACATTATTTTCAGAATGTGCATAAGCCATTTCTGAATTATTTCTAGCAACTTTGAGAAGTGTTTTTCTGTCCTAATGGAAAAATCTCACCTTCAAAATAGGTATGCATGTAGACATGCAGAATACGTCTTTACGTCTCTAGTGCTTTGAGACATGTTTTTCGTGGGCTGTGTGGAGCACAGACTCTTTGGGACACTCACTGGTGTGCTGGCGGTGCAGCCACTCACTGGATAGGTAGAGTTAAGATGTCTGTGTTTAATCAAACACACAAAGAAACAAACAAACAAAAACACTTGGAAAAAACAAGTTAGGTTAGTAAATCGTAGAAAGAAATATGCACATTTCAATACCTGTGCCCAGTAATGAGGCATTGGCAGTCTCAGTCCCACTGTTGGCTGTGGTGGCTGTGTGCCTGACAGAGCACAGGTGATCCCTTTCCCCACTCTCCCAGGGGAGGCAGTTTCAACTCACGTGTATAGATGGCAGTTTGGAGAAGTAGTAGAAAGTTTGACCATGTTTCTTGAAGGGGAATAATTTTTTTCTAATTTAGTTCATTTAGATTTTTTTTGTTCATAAAACAATCTTGAATGTGAGTCAAGCACAGCTAAAGATGCAAAGTTCTGTACAAATACGTGGTGACCATTAAAGATGTGAATGTATTTCTTTCCGAAATCTGTCAATAGAAGTAAAATCCAGTTTTATTATACAATGGATTTTTTTCCTCACAGCTGTGAAATACGGCATCATGGATTTCCATCATTGCGTTCTCCTACTTTAACTTTCAGATGCATCAGCAGATGAGCGTACAATTATTCTCCTTGCTGGTAATCTTTCCACTCCTAAATTCCACTCTCAAAATGCCCACCCCTGGCAGTTTAAAGAGTAACTTTAAACTCTACATAGAAGCAGAGGTCTTTCATTTCTCATTGGGTACTGGCAACGCGAGGGAGGGAGGCAGGAAAAAGAGACTGCAGGGCAGGGAGATTCCCTCCAGCCTTCCCACTCCCGATCCTCTCTTACCATTTCATTCTCAGCAGCTGTCAACTTCTAAATCCCAGAGAACATTTCTTGCTCATTGCAGGGAGTAGAGAACAGGGTGCACTTAATAGTTTACTACTGGAGTCGGTGGAGCAGGAAAACAGGTCACTGGCAGGCACTTGGTAAATTCAAAGCACATCAGCTCTGGTTTTGTGATACTGAAGGTACGCACTGTGAGGCTGCTTGGTACTTCACGTCTTTCTCCTTTTTAAAGAGATTTTAACGTTAAACTCTTTTATAGATCTTTGAAGTTTAATAACAGAGCCTCTTTAGATAGGCACAGGGGGTTTTTTTGGAATGTTGCTTGGATAAAAAAGAAAACGTGTCACCAAATGTAATGAGGGATCTAATATTTTAAAATTTGCTGTACTCACAGTACTGCTTTTTCATAGACTGATTGAATGATTTCGTGGAAATAATTTTTGGCTAATAATATTGTGCTTAAAGTTTTATCAAGGACTTTATAATGAAAATATTGCTATAAAAGAAAGATTTTGATAAGAGCACAGAGAAGACATCTTTTCTTGTCTCACTGAGGCACGGTGAGATGCAGAGGCAGATTTTCTGCTTAATCAAACCAAAATAATGTAATGCTGTGTTTGATCTGGCCTGAGATGTGAACGAGAAAGTGCTATCACTAAATGTCACAGTATTGACTACATTTATTACTTTTTAGAAGGGGTCATATAAGGTGTGTAGGGCTCTGTGAACTCAGTGGCATGAAGAGTTCTTGATGAAGTTAGTGATGAAGATGTCAAGACAGCAAGAGCTATTACATTATGCAGTATGCTTTCGGGGCACAGCTCGACAAATAGATTTTGTAGCAGCCTGACCATAACCATTGCAGAGCACAAGCAATTATTTTTTTGGTAGGATACAGCTCAGATGAAAGGATGTGATTATTAACTTATTTCACATTCTGGATGTAAACAGAGGCTTTGAGGAAAACTCAGTTAACTTGAAAGACAAATGCTTTTCACACATTTGTGGCACTGTGGGAAAAGAAACTACCTTAGGAATACGGGTGGGTTTTAGAGCTTTCTGACACTCAGAAAGCTGCTGTGTTATGTTTATGTGTTTACAATTGAGTTATTCTCAGTTTAAAACTCTGAAGTTGTCAATTAAAATGCAGTGTTTAAATATTCTTCAATTAAAAATGGAGGGAAGGAAATGGCAATTCCTTCCAAAATGGCAGTGGTGCTGGGAGGATGCAGCAGTGAGGTGCTGCGAGCAGGCATGGCCTGGGCTTGGTGCTGGTGTAGGGGCAGCCTGAGCTGGTTTGGGTAATTATGCTAAGTAAATTCAGAATACGTTGTTCAGAGCCACTCCTGATAACTGCTAGCAAGCACGTAATCCCCACAGCCTTCCAAATAGTATAACGATTTCTGTAGTGGTACTGTGGTATTTTTACTGACAGTTGGTAGAGGAAGCTTAATAAACTGCGTCAGCAATTGGCATTCTCTGCAAACTTCACTTGTACCGCTCTGAATCTTAAAAGCATTAGATGTTTCTTTCAATTTAATATCTGCATAATGGATGTGGATGGCAGGATACACTGCTGCCAGGCGGCTCGCAGCAGCTCTCTCCTCAGCAGCGCCGTTGTTCTGTCCTATTGGCAAGATGGGACGAGATTGTCCTATTGCCTCTTGTCCTGAGTTGGTGCTGCAATTCTTCAGTCTCCTGTACAGTACGTTTTTGGCATGTATTACATAGACATGTTGCAGTATTTCATCTCCTGCTCTGCTCTCTTCTTGCCTCCTCCCCCTTGGTTTGCTCTTTGGAAATGTTTTTCAGCTCTTCTGCTTGCTGATGCAGCACTTCAGTTTGCGGGTTAACATGGTTGATCTTCTCAGACAGCAATTTTAAATGATTGTTCAGCTATTCCATGTTTGAATGAGCAGATAGACACAGGCCACTTAAAACTATGTAGATCATCTGAATTTGAAAAATACTTTATAAACCCTTAATATTTTCTCTTTGTTCTAGGTGGGAACGGCTACCAGTTTTTAGGTTTTGATATCTATTAGCATTCTTCTAGGTGCAGTGTAAAGTATTTATTTTGCATTCCTGCCTACTATAAGCTCCCTGAGTTTTCAATGAGATTGAGCCAGTGTTTCTGTTGCCTTTGGAGTGTGGTGTGCATCCCTGCCAGGGCCATCACCACAACTCCGGGGAGGTTTTAGAAGGGTGGTCTTCCTCAGGTACACTTGGTAGCTGCTGAATTCAGTCTTTTGCAAAAACATCTGTACTTTGAATTCACAGTTTTCAACCCTACGAAACAGAATTTTTTTTAATTTCTTTTATTTTTGATTGATAATGTGTTCTCTCTTGCTTTTTAAAGTTCTGGTTCTCTAAAAGTCCCTGTTTGGAACCCTGCAATTTTTTGCTGTTTTCTAGGTGCAAGGTTAGTTTGTTAGGCATGGTGCAGCCTTAAGCCATCATAAGCAACATACTTGGAAGTAGGTGTAAAGTATGAGAATGGGAACTACAAGAAGAACTGATACTTCACTACTTCAGAGTTCCATAATCCTGCATAGAAAAAAAAAAAAATTATATATATATATATATATATATATAAGAGGGAAAGATTGTTTCTGTTGGTTGTATGTATGTGGATTATCACTTTTTTCATTCTCTCTCTCTGGTTTGTACTACACCCTAATATAAATGCTTAAAAAAAAAAAAAAAAAAAAAAATCCAAGGATTGGATACTGTCAGAAAGTTTTTGTTTCTTTTCATGCAAGTGGAACTGCTTCAGGCAGCTCCTTCTGCCAGTGCCAAGCTCTGACTGAATTGGTCTGACCATCAGACTTTTTGATCAAATTTCCTCAGGCTGGCCCCTGGCATGTCAATTCACTCTTTAGGGTACTGCTCCACATCCAGCCATGCAGTGTGACAATTCTGGAGTACACATCTGAATCTTTTTAAAGCTACCCTACATTGGTGGTGGTTAGAGAATCAGAAGAGATGCTTGTTTCCTATCATGTGCACACACAAAGAAGTCTTGTGGTATATGCACTCCTTGCTGTTGCTAAAGCACACGAACATAAAATGTGAGCCCTTATTACCCATACAGTGACAGGGTATCTTATCCCATAAGTCACCTGGTATGGTATCAGATCTTTGATCGTCTAAGGATACCTGTAGCTACCAGGAGAAGAAACTTCCCTTTGAAATAATTTCAAATTTTCATGAAAGCCATAATATCACAGGAAGCATTTAAGCTTGGAGAAATAAGTCTATGTCTTTCTTTCCTGCTGTAGGTAGCCTTATCTGATTTTCTTTCAATTGACAATAATATTGGACTGAATGACCACACATCAGTGCCCTTCCTATTCCCCACTTTGCACACAGTATGGCTCTCTCGCCAGTCATTTTCTGTGCCTAGAAGTGCATGTCAGAAGGAGACAGAGACAGAGGCAGAAAGAGACTTTGGAATCTGAATGCCAGCAAGTCTCAAGTGAATGTATGCTAATGAGGTCTTGCAGTGGTTTGTGCCTGGAGTGGGGTGAGTTTCCGCAAGGAGATAAGGTCATCTTGTTGGACAGCATAGCTATTCTGGAATTCAGTCCATTAGTTAACACCAATGTTTAAAATTCTAAAAAGAGAACTCCTACTGCACTTTTGTATAGTCCTTTATTTACCCTAAATGCTTTAGGTATTATTATCTTCTCTAACATATGCAACAAATTAACCATCATCGTATCTGTTTATGTTTCTATTTGTCTTGTAGAAAAGAGTGGTGGAACAGCTTCGAAAGAATTTGATAGTGAAGCAGGAACAGCCAGACAGTAAGTTTCAAATACAGCCATTGGCACAGTCAGAAAACAAACTACAGACGCCACAGCCACAACCACTGCAACAATTACAGCAACACCACCATCAACAGCAGCAGCAGTCTACTGCACCCTCTCCAAACGTGATTGGATCACAGGTAAGAATTGCCAGAGCAGTTCTTTTCCTTGCTGAAGGTAAAGTTCACTGCAGAAAAATCAAAGTTGCAGACAGAAAATTACAAACTTTCACTTTGGCCTCTTAGTGTACCAATATTAATTTATTTTTCTGTGCATGTGCACATATCAATAGTTTGGTTTGGTTTGTCGTTTTTTTTCTTCAATAACCACCTATTAGAGATTAAAAGTCAGATCATAATGTCACAAAAAAGAAAGGTGGTCGCATCATCTTACTTAGAAATAAATAAAAGTTTAGCAAATTTATCTGTCTTTTCCACAGGTGCATATGTGATTACCCATAGCCAGCAGATCTCAAGAAACAGTAAAGACTTTGCTTGTACTGTATGAAGTGTATGATTAAAATCACTTATTTTTAAAAGACTCACAGTCTTTGTGAGCAAAATGTAAGGAAACTGTTCCCTCTTCTTTCTGCCTGGCTCTTTCTAAACAGACATAACTCATATGTAATAATTCTTACCCGAGTCTGCACACATTAATTTAAGAGGATACAATGGTAGTTACAAAGTTTAAATTTTAGAAAGTTGTGTATTTATTGGGAAGGCACATTAATTTCACTACAGTATGGGATTAGAGATATAATCCCAGAACTCACCAGGGAAAGTGGACCTCTTCACTGAGAAGGAAATTGCACGCTAATTCCAAGTCTCTACTGTTCAAATAGTTAGAATCTCAAAAGTCTGCTAATAAAGCAGGTAGAAAGGCAGGGGTACATTTTATAGTAAGAGGGTGTGTGACTTTTTTTTACCTGTTGTTGCCATCTCAGCAGCTCACATGGATAGCTTGGATAGGTAGATGGCAGAAGTCACCATTTGCTTCATGCATATTGCAGGGAGTTGCAACCGTAACTTTGACTGGTAACCATTCTCTCCTTTTCCTGAAAGTAGAAGGGGAAGAAATGGTTGGGATCTTAGCTATCTCATTAAGTGAGCAAGTTGTTTTGAATATTTTCTAAAAATGTCTGTGTGAGGCTTAGGTACTTGAAAAAGAATATTGAAGAAATGAAGCAGACATCTAAGAAAAAGATGGTCTTGAGCACAAACGTCTACACTGAATCTAGGACAGAACTATGAAGTGTGTCGTAAAATGGTGAATCACTCTTTGCTTTTCAATCAGGAAACACAGCTGCAAAAGCAGCCTTACATTTTTGTCCTTGTTCCACACTTTGCGTTCACGCTTTAACTTCCAGGTCATATTCTGGGTTGCAAAAACCCAGGTTTTGTTTAAAGTTAAAGAGCCCTCTAGTGAAACAGTCACAAAACTGCTACACCCTTCTGACTCCTTGATGCGGTTGCACTCAGAAAGTAATTAGGAACTGAAAGGCAGGTCTCCCTTTCATTTGAATAAAAACAAGCCAGCTTGAAGCCTTAAGTGATCTGTTTTTGTTTATGTTGGTATAACTCTGCAGTATCATCACTTGCTTCTGTACGTGGAATCTATGTACAGGTTCTCTGTTCTCTTGCCCCTCAGTAAAACTGCACCTTCTCTTTCAGCAAAGATACAAGGAACATGTAATGTCAAGTGTTTTGTCTCTGTATAAAGGTTATTGCTGCCAACTTTTGTAACAATACATTTTCCAGTAAAGATAATGCTTTCAATTGCTATTTTCAGAGTAATTCAGTTCAGGCATAAAGTTATATATACTGCTTTAATAGTGACACTGTAAGATACTTGATGTAATCCAGTCAGAGGGATAGTTTTTCAAAAAGCAGCAAGCCCGCTGGAAGCTCGTACTATTACAATGTTATTATGTGAAATAAAGCAAACTTGCTGTGAATGGTACTTCAGTATGAATTCATGCATTGAAAACCTTTTAGAATAACCGAAGCAATTAACGCTCTGCAAAGTAATACAGAAATTCAAGCTCTGTGATCTGCTGTCTGAAACTATGCTCTCAGTACTTTCACACTTAGCAGAACCCCTTGAAAGTGTCCCAGTCTTGTATTACATGATGGATTACACTTTTCTTCAAAATGTTTACAGGTGAGTGTAATTCTTGTGAAAATGATAGGGTGTTACATCTTATTGGAAAAGCTTGAATAATATTCAAGCTGCTTCAGGGGAAAGGAGCCTCTTGCTTTGGAGACAGTGCAGTAGAGGTCAATGAGAAGCTCTTATATCTAAAACGGAAAGTTAAGGGAATTGTTCAAGTTGAGACAAGGAAAAAACTATTATGACCAGACTTTATATAAATGCATTAAAATTGTAGCACAAATTATTCTTTGATTTGGCATTATACAGAGATTTTTTCACACTTGAGTGTAATTAACAATTAGGAGATACAGTTTAAGCAGTAAAAAATTGGTGGTGTGAAGGCAAAACACATTTTAGTTTAAGGAAATAGTATCAGAGAAAATACTGAAGAAACCAACTGGAAATATATTACTTTATTAGAATGAAAAGAAAGGTCTTATGCCATCGTAATTCATAAATCTGAATCAGGCATGTTCAGAACATGACAAAGGCTGCCTGACCCCTGGTTCTCCATTTTTCCCTGTTCCAAAGTCCAGCACCATTGTCAGGAAGGAATGGCTCTTATTTCATTCTAAAAGCATTTAATGATGCCAGGAACCGTTTTGAAGATGCAGACTCATTAATACACTGGATTTTTTACACCAAAGAGAGAAGGGATAAATTCTGCCATTCTATCGAGTGTCATTCATCATGATTTTTCTGTGCACATTGTGTTCTGATTTTATATGGAGATCTTCCTGCCTTGTTACTTTTCGAATGAGATTGATATTTTCTGTTTTCCTCAGTATCTTAGAAGATGGTACATTTTAAACCAAAATTCGGAATTATGGTTGTTTAACTTCGGAATGCACTTAATTTGGAGCATAGTGTATCAATGCATTTCAGATAAATGCTGACATTAAGTGATTCAAAACCACTTTCTTTAAAGCACGCTAACAGCAATCTGAAATCGTGTGCATGCACCAAAACTACCCCCACTCCCCCATTCCAGTGAAGTTAAAATTAATTGCCTGCAGCTGGACAGGCGCACAGCCAGCTCACAACTCCAGGATAGCCCTGCTGGTATTCTTAGGAAAGAACATGAAGGACTAAATTTCTGTCTGTATGTCTAAAACTGAAATTTGCACTAACCAGAATCAAAACCCCTTTTTGTTCTTGAAGAAAAAAACAAGGTTATGAGGTTTTTTTTTTTCCCTCTTCCTCTGATTATGATCTCTGTAAGTAAAGTTTCCATTTGGAATTATGTATTTTAATTGATGAGAAGCTAGTTTGCTGGTTTGTTTCATAAACTTCCAGCATATAGGGTTGATGTTGACAGTACACATTTACAAGTAGTATGAAATTAAAAGATCAAAAAACGTATATACCTCTCTCTGCTAACACTTGGTTGTCATATTCTCAAAAACTGTTTTGAATCAATCTCTAATTCTGCAAATGATGAAAATGTTCCCAACAGGAGCCCCAGATGAGATTTCTTTCTAGCTATCCAGTTTTCAGAAGAGTAAAATCATATGCGTGTCTGAACAGTGGGCAGGTAGACTTAGTGCTGCCTTTTCTTCTGCTGTCTGTTGTTTCTGATGAACCAGCCCACATCCTGTCTGATGCCAAATGTCTCTGTCTCTTACAGTGTTTTTTCTGTTTCCTCTAGAAAACAGTAACTACAGCTTCTATGATCACCACTAAGACACTACCTCTCGTCTTGAAAGCAGCAACTGCGACCATGCCTGCCTCCGTTGTGGGTCAGAGACCTACCATTGCCATGGTTACTGCTATCAACAACAACCAGAAAGCAGTCCTCAGCACTGATGCGCAGAATGCACCGGTCAACCTCCAGACAACAAATAAGGTCACTGGGCCAGGAGCTGAGACAGTCCAAATAGTGGCGAAAAACACAGTCACTTTGGTAAGCATTTCGTGTGTTTGCCCTGCAAATATGTGTGGTTTAGTTTGCAACAGGGCTATAGGAAAAAAAAAAAATCACATTCTTGTACCAGAAAGGCGAAGAGTAGGGACTTATGAGACTTTGTAGGTTGACACTGCTAAACTGAAAGACCAAGAGAAAAATATTTACTCTCTACATGAGTTGTTACTACTGTTTGGCTCTATAGAATTAAATCAGTGCTGTCATCACCTCTGTGTAGTAACTGTTAGTGACGGGGAAGCAGCGATTGTTTTGCCCCTACGCAGTGTATGTGCTGTGTCCTGCAAAATTTCAACTCTTTTGTTTGGTAAAGGTGCTGTCAGAATTTCATGGCTTGATCATTTTGGGCTTTTGTTTTACATTTTTTGAGTCAATCACTCTTGTTCACTTTCTGTGATAAAGTCTCTCATGTTGGACACACCACTTAATTCTGCTCACTACCGTGTCTTCACTCACCACTTTTTCATACGCAGATCCTGTTTCTTTAATCATGTATTTTGGAAAGTGCTCTGATTATATCATACAGTCTTTTCCAGAGTAGCTAACTTGCTGAACAATTAATGAGACACCTGGAAATATAAGAAGAAATTAGGAATTACATAGGATCACGACAGGGAAATTCCACTTTTGAGTTAAAGATTAAAACTTCACTAAATACAAATCTTTGTTTATCTTTATTTAAAAATACAATTTAATAAATACAGTTTAATAATGCAGATCAAAGTAATTTTACTTCCCGATAGGGCATCATTGTAATCAGGATAGAACGCATGGAGTTTTTTCTGCTGTTCCCTTTTCCAGAGTCATCTGTTGCCCCTGTCATCTGACTTCCATGCTTCTGCTTAACCTCTTTGCTGAATAACCTACTTAGGCTGTGCAGGTGATAGTGTTATTATACTTACACATGATTTAGGTTTTGCAAGCACATTTCATAAAAATCTCAGAATATTTTCCCAAGCTTTAATTAATCAGCATGATACCTTTTTGAAGTAAACCATAATCTTATGTGTATGGACAGAAGTAGAGAAGAGTGGAAACTAACATGGACATTAATCTCAAAGAATCTCACTGAGTACTCAACTAGGGTAGTTAGTAGCACTAATCAGATTAATTACTTGGCAACTCCAATTGATTTCAGGTAGAAAGAGAAGTACTTAGGCCTCCTTAAAATCAGTGCTTAATTGCTTCAATTGCCTTACTTTCGAATTTTAGGCTGTGCATTTACAGCCCCTCAGAGTGTCATTAATATTTCTAGAAATAGTAGAGTTCTGTCTTCCAAATTTTCTCATTTGTGCGAGATAATCTTTCGTTCTCCTGGATGCCATTGAATATAATAGGATAGTGTAGCTGGACATCAAAGCCTGAAGTTACTTTCTGTCAGTTATAATGCCATTTATGAACTGTTAAAACAAATCATAGTTTCATTATCTTTAGATGAGGTGATTTTAGATCACAGACCACAGTAGTTAGTACAGGAGCACTAAAAGGAGAGACACCTTCTGTTTGTAAACAAAGATACACAGGCACTGGAAAGTAGGGGTACTTCGGTTTTCAGTACATTTGTAATGAAGAAGCTGCTATAATGAAAAATTATGGAGTGAAAAGCCAGGAACATCAAGTCTGAAAATGCATTCAGGGTGTTGATTTTGGTGAACAACATCAGAGCTATTTTTCTCTGATTGAACTATGTCTTAAATTCTTACAGCAGGTTCAGGCTACACCCCAGCCCATCAAAGTGCCGCAGTTCATCCCTCCTCCCAGACTCACTCCTCGTCCAAATTTTCTTCCACAGGTAAGTGTATAGAGAGCAAGCAATTGAAGAGGAACCTTAATTATAGCATAAATAGGAGAAATTTTCTGAGAACATCATGCCTGTCAGTCTTTATTGGTGACATGATGGAGGAGACAATTCATCTTTATGGGAAGGTTCAGACTGGATGTACAATAGAACAGAACAGAATGATTCTGTTGGAAGGAATCTTCAAAGATCATCCAGTCCAGCTGCCTGAGCAGTTCATTATCCAAATGCCTCTTAGAATACTGACAAGCACGAGGTAACAACTGCCTCTCTAGAAAGCCTGTTCTAGTGTTTGACCATCTTCACAGTAACAAAAGCTTTCCTAATATCCAGTCAGGAAATAATTTCTCACTGTGGGATCACTTAGGAGTGGAATAGGCTGCCCAGGGGAGTGGTGGAATCTCCAGCCTTGGGGGTTAGCAAGACCTGTCTGGACAAAGCCTGAGCATCTTGGTCTGCATTGAGTGTTGCCTTGTACTGAGAAGGAGATTGGATTAGAAATATCCTGAGCTTCCTCCTGCCCTGCTTGTCTTGATTATGAGATTAGCATATAGTGATCATTTATGAATGTATTTGCATCAAAAGGAAAGAACCCACTGAACTGGTGTCAGCAAAAATCAGTGCATCACCTAAGGCCTTAAATTGCTGTAATTATTGTTTGCTGCTCATAAGCAAGAAGGAAAAACAAGATGTCTCTAGGTTGTTCCCAAGTATTTCTGTATTGCAGCAGAGAGTTATTTCTGATCACAGCTGAGCAGTAAAATTTGTAGAAAACAGATTTTTTCACAGGTTGGAAAAAACACTGATTCTTTCTTCATTAAAAGAAAAGATCTTGGAGGAACTATTTCATTTCCAACGTATACTTGGCACTGACTACAAGCCTTAATGTGGTGCAAAAGAAAAAAAGGAAAGTATAGGCTGGTGGCTGTTGGAACATCACCTTGTTTTTAATGATGAAATCCATTGTGGAGTATTAAATGTGGATAGGACAACAGAAACTAAACAGTGAAAAAGACTTGATTTTCAGAGTAATTTATTCTGTTTCTGTACACTGTAATCATATACGTAAAAACAATGGGCAAGAAATGAACAAGCATTTGTAGTAAAGTATTGAACAATTTTTGTGACTCATGGAAGAAAAATATTACTAACTGCCTTTACCTGAACCCTTCAGCATTTTCAGTGGGAGATTAATGTATTATTGTGAAAATTCTATTTATTTAGCAAGAGTGGATTGCAAGTGTCTATTTAGACATGTACAGAGTAATATGATAACAGTGATAACAAGGATTTTCTGAAAAACTGTTGAAGACTCAGTATAAAGCCCTGAGACACACTTCTAACATGAAAGTCTCTGCAGTGCCTGTAAATATTACATTAGTTTTTGGCTCACAAAAGCAGTGTGTTGATTTAGACATATATAAGGCACTTGGCAATATACATGTAATATAAATATCTGTGCATCCAAATACCGTTTCAGGGACTGTGACTGCTTATGCAAATGTTTTATGGATGGATCTTACGAAAGTAAATTCGAAAATGTGCCTTTTCTTTTTCATATCATACTTGTGACTCTGTGCTAAGAATTACATTCTGTAAGGAATCAACCTTGCATGGATTATACAGGCTGAATTAAAAGACTTAGTAAATATTTTTTTCTGCAGTATTGGTATATGAATATCTCTCTTCCTTTTTTTTTTCCCCCGTAGGTTCGACCTAAGCCAGTTGCCCAAAATAACATTCCTATTGCCCCAGCACCTCCTCCAATGCTTGCAGCTCCTCAGCTTATTCAGAGGCCTGTGATGCTGACAACAAAGTTCACACCCACCTCTTTACCCAACTCTCAGAACTCCATACATCCAGTTCGTGTAGTTAACGGGCAGACAGCAACCATAGCCAAAACTTTCCCTATGGCACAGCTCACCAGCATCGTGATAGCAGCACCAGGTACCAGGCTTGCTGGACCTCAGACTGTACAGATCAGCAAACCAAACGTTGAAAAACAGGTACAGATAAGAAAGTGTCTGCTGAATAAGCATACTGGATGTATTGCTTTATGGTTTTGGAGAGGATAAGAAATGGGGAAGCTTTCATTGGTTGCTGGAAATATTCATGTTCCAACAATAGTACAAATTATGAAATTACTTCTGACTCTTGGGGTAGAAATAACCTTTTTTCTGTAACATCTTCTTTTCATACTTTAAGAGTTTTATTCTCTCTACTGTTCAGCTTCCGTTGATTACAAGCAAGCTATATTCCAAGGCTGTACTAATTTCTTGGAGACCGCATACGAACCAAAATCCATGTTCATATGAAGCCTTTAAGAAACACTGGAAAAATATTTTCAGTGTTTTTGTTTTTCAGATGATGCCAACCAGAGAAGCAAAAAAAAAAAGATGCAAAACCATAGAAGTATATAATCCAACAATTTCTTCCTTGATCTTGTAGTCTTGTTGTCTTACAATTGGAGAAAAAATAGAGTCACTCATCTTTAGAGGACTGGTAGTTTACCACGACTAAATTGGGTTAAATGAGCAGAAGGGAGACCTCAGAAACAGAGCATTCTAGATAATTAGTTTTAAAGTCCCTCTCCACTGAAGACTTTCTTAAAGTTTTTACTCTAGCATGGTTTGCGGCTGCTGCTTCCTTGACATTCAGTTGAAGTGAAGCAATCTTCTATTTCACTTTTAATTCTTTCATTTATTACACGTTAGTGATATTATACCATTATATAATGTATAATGCATTATCTATAGCATACAATGTGTATTTGTGTAATTATGCATATATTACTATACATTTTACTTACAAATCTTTCGTAGACTAATGTGCCTTGAACTTATCTTCCACGTTTGAAGTCACCTATAGAGACTGAGATAATCCAGTGCATGAAAGACATGCTTATGTTCTGTTCTCCTATGAATTCACTTGAGTAGGTTCTTGTGTACCTCAAGGCAGTTCTACAAGTTATTCAGCAGTGCGTGCACTTTTCATTTGATTTGAAGTAGTACTTTTACAATACTATACTTTTGATGCCTATTCCTTTTGATGTCAGCAATATTCATTTGCTCTTCAAATAATTACTGGAAAATCAAGGAACTGTTGAAAAACATACAGAAAAATGTTGCTGGTTTAATAATACATTAAGTTTTCAGTATATTTTCCCTGCATGGTAGAGAGGAAGAGTTTGTGTCTTGGTAGAGATTACCTCAGTTTGTAGTATCAACAGCTGTGCCATGGGTTGGGGGTTGACATGAAGAGTTTTGTGGTATCACTGAAGAAGAATCTGACTTAAGAAAAAAAATGCAGAAAAATATGAGGTCTTTGGAGTCAGAGAGAGAGTTTTTGAGCCATTCATAATTCTTCAAGAAGATTGAAGAGCCAGAAGTATAAAATGCATGTAACCATGCAGAATGGTTTTACCTGAAGTTTTCCTTCCCAAACAGTACAGCAACTTCTGTAATGGAGTTAACTCTTGTGATGACTTTTACTGCTTGCATGGCTGCTTGGGTTAATGGAATGGTTGTGAGGCTGCTTCATCCTTTGTTAAAGCAAAACAGTATTTAATATTCCTCTCAATCCGATTCTTTGTTAATACACTGCCAACTTTAAACTGTTTTTCTTTGTATCTGTTGAAGTATTTGTTTTGCTTTATTAGTCAAAATAAAATAGTCCTCCTTATCAGAGAATGAGAGAAACTTTTTTTTTTTCAGACTATTAAACCACATGTGGAAGCAGAAGAGAAGCAAACAGAAAGTCGTACAGTTACTCCACCTGCTGCACCGAAGCCAAAACGAGAAGAAAATCCACAGGTATCAGAGCACATCCAGAGTTTTCTGGATGGAAGGAATTCCTTGTCCTCCAGAAAACTTTTTTTCCTCCCTCTTCCCTTAAGATTCCTAAACTTTCATATTCCATATATCCTATTGGGCAACAGTAACTATCAGTCTATGCCTGTAGACCTATTAGGTCTACAGAATGACAAATCTAAACAGATATAATGCATTTGCGTATTTCATTCTGGTCTTTTGTTAAATTAGAAGTTTGTAATTTCCCTGATACTTCCTTCAACCAGGAAGCTTCGATTACAGCATTGATTTCTAATCCTTTGAGCTTTTAGACTGTTGGAAAACGGCCTTTTTTTTCCCTTATAAGAAACTACTGTTCTGATTAGCAGGATGGAAAGAGCCATGTATGTACACATTCTGCCTAGATCTTATTCTAGTTTAGGTCCCATTAGTCTTGGGGAGATGGAAAAGCCAAAATGGCTATTTCTTAGAGCCTTTCTGCCATGTTGAGCTCTGAAACTGATTACAACTAAATGTTTGGTTTTTTTTTTAAATAGATTCAAGCTGACTATTTGTAATGTGAGATTAGCTACTGTCAGTACAAATTCTGATTTTTAGATGTCTGTGCACTTCTTGCATTAAAATTAGAATCCCTTGAGAAAGCCATAGCCCTAATCAAACTGCGTAACAGACTTGCTCCTTATAGTCTGCAGTAATATGGAGATGATTCTGTAGCCAGTAATATTTTACTGGCAAGCAAACTGTGTTGGCATTTACTAAGAACCAATCACATAGTTATCTCAGTGTACTGGAAGCAAAGAAACTGCTTTCTTGTTCCTGGCTCTGCCAACTTGGTGATCATAAGCAATTGACATTTCCCTGTGTATCAGCCTAGGTTCCCAAATTAGCATATATAAATGAAAAGTGAGTTATGGAAGCAAAGCATTATTAGTAACATTTTGGGTGCTTAGTTACCTGTCAACTGATTTTAAGGGGCCTAAATAAAGTACCTTATCCTAACAATCAGAACTGTCATGTTCTCTGTATTTTTCTCTTTCTTCTCTCACAGAAACTTGCCTTCATGGTGTCTCTAGGACTAGTTACTCACGACCATCTGGAAGGTAAAAAGAAAAAATCTTAAGCTGGTTCTTGAGCTCTTTGTTTCATAGTCATTCTGAATGGGAATTACAAGTCCAACATATTTCTGTATTCAGTGTAGTATTTTCTTATACAGAAGTGCTTTTGGGATGTCTGTACTCTAGATCTAACTGGTCTCTTGCACATCTTTTATTCTCCTTATTACATGGAAGCAAAGCAGTTGCTTATGCAGCTGAGATCAGAAGGATCAGTGTTGGGAAAGAAAGTGCATGCTTTGATGGTAGGAAAGAAATTTGTGACAATGTTGTTGCATTCTAAACAGCCTCTGTATCTGCAAAGTTATGCCATGGATAATTTTACAGTAATCCACATCTGGATTTCTCATTTCCTTCATGATTTCATGGGACTGTAATCTGTAAAGGAAATGAATTAATAGATTATAATGTGTTTTCTTAATCCTATACATTGAAGAACAGCCTAACGTTGCAACAGCTTGTGTATTTCTGTACTGTGTTTATTTTTAGGTACTGACAAGGTTATCAGAGGCTTCTAGTTTGAGCTCCCAATTACACTGACTGCCAGTATAAAAAGTCTTAATCCTGAAGTACTCTTATTTAGAGAGAAGATGATGGTCATTTTGTGAATTAGTTGAGCACTATACTTGTACTTTTTGTCAGCTGTTAGTTCCAAACCTGCAGAAATTAGAAGCATGATAAAGTTTCCTCTGTTGAGCATGAATGGTTCTGTAGAAATCTTCACATGCAAACTGCATTCTTAGAAACTCATAATTTCTAGGGTCTGTTGTTTTCTAACCTGAGTGAATGCTTTGTTTTTCAAGAAATCCAAAGTAAGCGACAAGAGAGGAAAAGAAGAACAACAGCAAATCCAGTATACAGTGGAGCTGTTTTTGAGCCTGAGGTATTGATCTCTTGCTGGGGGAAGCTAGTCCTTCCATTCTGAGCTTGTTTTCTGCCACATTGCCACCACACCACCATGACAATCAAGACATCTTACCTCTGACAAGACAGGGTAGCTGTTGTCTGTAATTCAGATGGCCATTGCAATGATACAACCCTTAGATTTTTAATCAGGAGGCACGTTGGGATGTTCTTACAATATTTATGTCCTTTTCTGCCTTCTCCTATGTAAAACTGAAATTAAATGGCAGTGTGTGTTAGTCTTAACCATTAGGTCAGCTTGCATACTGGACTGAAGCAGTCCAGAGGTCAGAAGTAGTGTAAAAAAGCTAACTTCTCTGAAGCTGTGCTCCAGAAAACAGAACAGCTGGTAATCATATGTAGTGCTGCCTTGCTGTTCATCAGCTATTTTATATAGTTGTTGCAAAAATGTTAGCCAGCTAAAATGGTCGTGTTTTCCCCTGCAGCGCAAGAAGAGTGCAGTCACGTACCTGAACAGCACAATGCATCCTGGAACGCGTAAAAGAGGTGAGGTATACTTAGACATGTCTTCCTGCTCTGTGCCTCTTCCTCCATCTTGCATTTGCAGTCCCCTTGTTCATTTGAAGGGCAAAACGAAGAAGGACTTTACAGTACTTCATTTGTCTAGTAAATTTCCATGGTAGACACAGATCTTGACTTCCAGGGATTAGCATAGCAGGTTTTATTAAGCAGCTCAGTGTTTCATTTCAGTTTCACCTTCCCCCACAAAAATAGAGCAAAGTGAAAGGTGAGATGTCTGAACATCATTTAGAGGTATAAAGCTGCTGTCGAGATTCTCTTTTTAATAACTAAATTGTATTGCTGCTGTCAAGAAGAAGGTGGTTGTGGAAGGAGTGTCTGTGCTCTGAGTAGGAGAGGAAACTTAGTGTGAGAAAAGCTTGTTCCCCAGTGGGAGCAGAGATGGTTCCTTGGAAAGAATTTGTCTCGAGAAAGACTATCTTGCTCCTTCTGAGCACTTTACTGCAAGCAGAGTGCCACTTGTCCAGGAATGGAATATGATCTTTTGTATAGGTATGCAGCATTCTTCAGTCCAAATTCTTCTGTAAAAATAGTTGAAATTTTAATACTTATGTTATGTTGAAAGACATGAGTCAGCACAACATAGCACAGAATTCATACAGGTTTTCATACAAGGCATCAACCACACATATAGAACAATTTTTCCTGATTTTATGATTTTCTGCAGTTCTTAAGAACTTGTGCAGTCAACTATAGAATTGACCAGTTCAATTATGATTTCTTTTTTGCTGCAATGTCAAATATTCATTTGATGTATACTTTCTTTGACAAACTTTGTCAGTCCAGAAGGCAATGTGACAGGGCTGACCCTTGTGCTGTTTTGAATAAAGCACATCGGTATGCACCACTATCTTCTAGTCGCATTAAAAAAAGATTTTTTTTTCTAATAGTATGGTATGAATTTTACAGAGATAGAGCGTTGCATTTGTTCTGTGGATAAACAGATGTTCCTACTTCTAGTAATCATTTCTTAATTCTATTTTACAAGTCATCGTGAACAATTAATGCATCAGTGAAAGGGATTGCATGCTTTTGTGCTTGATATTCTCTTAGCCTGTTTATGCATGCTGACTGCTGTTTTACTGTCTTTTTTTTTTTTTCTCACACACTGTTGTGCGCCTGCACCTTCTATTAGCACCAAATTAGTAGCGTGCATTTTTAACTGATAGAAGATTTGGGTGAATACATTTATTCTGTGATTTAGAACAGCAGTATATTAGCCGTAAAGCTTATGCAAGCATGTGCCCTTGAGAGCTTGAGTTGGTGCTGAGCGTGTCAGAAATTTCAGCCATGGACATCACTATCAGAAATCCATTTCCAAGGACATACTTAGTTCTGGAACATATCCAGACCTTAAATGCAAGGTTTAGCATGTTAATGGGTATGGACTGACAATCTGTAAACATAAGATCTGGGGAATTATTCTAAGTCCTTTATGTTTACATAGTCATAAATTACTGTGGAGAAGGGAAGCAGAAATGATGGTTACATATTGTTTTTTACTCTCTTACTTTGCATACATAATTTTATGAAAATAGTTACAGACACATTTTGCACTTCTGCTAATCTGAAGGAGCATATAGGAGTTGTGCATAGTCAAACAAACTAGACTGAGAAAGGTTAAGAAAAAACACAGAGTCTGAGGAGAGTCACATTTTAAGACCAACGATAGATTACAACTGGTAGTGCTGGGGTTATGAGTCACACAACAGGACTTTTCTTGAGGCACCCTAATTTAAAAGATGCACCAGTAAAGTAGAAAGTACTGATCTGTGGGTGAGTGGGTTTAAAAAATGAGCAGAAAAGGATGGGGTTGGAATGGTGAGTGTTGGTCTCTGAGATAGGACTTAACCTTTGTGTAGGTTTATGCTGGCAGTAGAAAGATAGGAATGTGTGGGATAGCAGTAGGAAGGATTTCATAGTAGTTATTGTGGCTTCTATCTAGCTTTGGTGCCAACATATTTTCCCTAAAAACTGATTAGCCTTGTTTCTAGGAGTCCGCAAACTGCTTTTGAGGGAGTAGTTCTTTGACCTTCTTACAGAACTTATTTCTATTTCCTTCTGAAATACATCTTTTAAATATTCTTTCCTGGCAAAATTCTACTTAAATATTTCTTTAAAAATGTTTAAATCTTTGCTTCTGTCCTTCCACTTGTAACTTTTTTATTAACTTCCTCTCTGTGCTACATCATTTCCTTTTTCATGCTAGCCAATGAGGACCACTGGCCAAAGGTATGTAAGATTTTGTTTGTTTGTTTGTTTGTTTGTTCCCTTTTGTTAATATGTAGGTCGTCCACCTAAGTACAACACGGTGCTGGGGTTTGGGGCTTTGACGCCCACGTCCCCTCTGTCCAGTTATCCCGACTCCCCTGAAAATGAAAAGACAGAGACCACATTTACTTTTCCCGCGGCTGTTCAGCCTGTGTCCCTGCCTAGCCCCAGCTCCACAGACGTAAGTAATTCTTGGGGAGGGAGGTTACTTTTGGGAAGATATGCAGAAACAATCACAAGGCAAATCATTGCAGATTTTGTTTCTTTAGTCACACTCATCCTTTGTCCTGGTTCAGTGCAGTGAAACCATCTAGTCTCCTTTTAACACCCTTCCTTTTTCCTCCTGCACCTACGTTCTTATCCTGTAGAGATTTTATTTATAACGTGCGGTGGATTGAAACACTGGGAGGCACTAGGCATGCTAGATGAGCTCATTTCCTTTGTGCCGTGTTTGAGATCTTGTCTGACTGAATTGAATCTGTCATCCGTGATAAAGGGGAAAGGAGAGAATGGAAAATATTACTTACAGACCACAATAACAGAAAGTTGTGATGTTTCAGTAATGAGAGAAGGAAAACAACTCGGATCACCCAAGACAGCCAGGAGCAGTTGTTCACTGCACTGGTTATGGCAGTTCAGCTACATTGGTAGAATACATTGCTATGTACAATTGCTATGTTTATGCTTCACAAAATCTGTCTCAAATGAAATCTGCTCATTTTTTCATAATTTATAAAGAAGGAAATATCTTTTTTTTTTTTAAGTTAGAAACAAAGATTTGCCCCTCAAAGCTCAGCCTTTTTTAAAGTTGCTGAGGATGACCCAGTTATTTCATTGTTTCTGTTTCTTGCCAAAAGCATTAAGAAAAAAATTAAAGGCTGTGCGTAAGTTTCTGAAAAGAAATAGCAGGGAAAGTTGATGAGAGTTACTGTGTAGGTCTGACACAATGTAATGAATGGACAGTATGGTTTGTCTAAAAGTGTACAATGACCGAGTGAAGTAATTCATTGTACAAAACTTGTCAGGAGTTGTAGTGTACTTCCAGTAAAGTGCTTGCCTTTTAGTAACTACTAAGTACTGGGGACAGTTTGAAAATAAAAAGATACTGGCTTATTTATTCACACGAATAAGAGATCTAGGTTTGTTTGTTTGTATGCTTCTTTTTTATGTAATACTGTGTGTAATTGAGAGCCAGCAACTTGAAATGGACTTTATAGAAGCGTTGAGTTGGGTGGTTTTATTTTCACCTGTGCAGTTTCACCACTTGAAGAGCATAGACCAAGGGACAAACTATTGGCCATGGAGAAGAGGCAACAGAAGCCATCTTGTTGCTTCTGAACGGTATTTGTTCTGCAGAGGCAACAGAAATAGAAATAGTGGAAGTGTGTTTGAGTCATAGAAATAAATAGATGCAGTTCTGATACACAGGGAATATGTATGTGAAATTAGAAGGTGCGCTTTTGTGTAGTTACTTCTGAGAGCAAAATAGCACTCAGCTATAAAAACCCTTTGCTGACAGTCAGATGAAAGAGACTGTGGAACAGCCCCACAGAGGGAGGGTGTGCCAGCTCCATCTCTGGGGACTTCTAAAAGTAACCAGTAAAATTGACAAGTAAACATGCTGGAGAGAGCTTTTTTTTTTTCTTTTCTTATTGGCCCCATGAGAAGGATTGGATAATGTGTTAGATCTTTTCCATCTCTGACTTTTGTATGGTCATTTCCTACTGTATAAGAGCTCTCAAAACAGTATAATGCGGTGGTGTCCTGTTTTCTTGCTCTGCCTGGTGACAGCAGGCTAAATCAAGAATGGAGAATTCTTGTAGCATTCTAATCTCGTTCTGAATGCCCTGAATTTTCTCAGTTTGGATAGTGTTCAGACCTAGCTGATGGATTGTTTCAGTATTCATTAATTACAAATCTGTGTTTGTCGAAATATAGAAAGATGTATTTATTCCAGGTAGAATAAAAAATGCTTCCTGTTGTTACTCCTTCAGCTTTTGGTGACCATATAGAGTGAAAACATGATACGTACATGCCCAAGTAAAAAGTTATTTTAAAAGTCTCAGTTAAAACCTTTCAGCTGTTTCCCAGGCAATTAAAGAAGAAAACTGCGATTTTTCCCATCTTTAAAACATTTTTACACTCATTTATTTGGAAAGTCTAATTCCTATAGGCTGTAGAATGGAAATTTGATGTTTGGTACCTGAAAAAACTTTGTTTTTAGCCAACCTGGGAAAATTGACCAAGCATTCATCACCACAGCCCAGAATGGCTTTTTGCCTTTCTTCTGAATTGTCATCCTCTCAGTGACAGAGGTGAATTCTGAAGGGAGGAACTTGAGATGGGAGTGGAGATAAGGGTGGAGGGGTAGAAACTGAGAACAGAGCCTGGGAAAAGGAGGGAAATAATAACAGGCAGGGCTGAACAAAGCTTTTTTTTTTTTTTTCTTTTTCTTTTTCTTTTTCTGACTTGAAGTTGGCTGTGAACCACTTGGTTATGGGTGATTCTCCCTCACACAATAGCATATTCACCTGGAAGACAGCAATTGCCTTTGATAGTCTGTTACTCAGCAGAATGAATAATGCAAAACTGTTTTCTGTCTAGAAATCTCTATTCTAGCAATGGTTCAAGCCTGTGGTCACAAAATGCCTTTTTATTAGTAAATTAATAAATGTTACAGTTGAGCAGAGTGTTGGAGAACATTCAGACCATGAAGTCAAGCTCATAAATGTTCGAGAATGCCTAGATTATTATTGCTTGTGATAATTGAGTCACTTATAGCACGCATACCTATTATGATAATCTTTATTAATGTGGTCTTGCACAATTCAGAAAATTTAGATTTACCATGTTATTCTAGTGAAATGTATATATACATGTCCACATTCAAACACATAAGCTATACACACATACTGTGGATTTGATATCGTATTGTTCTGTTGTACTGCCAAAAGCCAGGCCTTATTGCTGTAGATACCGTATAAAAATAAAGGAAAATGTTAGCTGTTCAGAAAGCTTTTATTTACTTTCCCATTATCTTGGAAGAGGAAATAGAGCGAATAGTGACCTTAAATTACCTTTTATATTCACACTGTTTTGAAATTACTCTTCAGCATCTTCTGCCTATAACATATGTTAGAGCTTCGTCAGCGAGCTCTGCTCTAACATAAGTTGGCTGCAAACAGCCTTCAGGGAGCAGGGCCAGAAGCTGAGATTAGTGGGGTGCATGTCACAACATCAAATCCAGCTCCCTTCATGCATACATTATTAACTGTCTTTAAAACCTGGGATCTTTCTTTGGAATCGAGCATTGGCTGGATTTTTTATTTTTAATGTCCAGTTACTAATTTTGAGGGAATACCAGGAAATTTGCATTACTGTTTTGATGAACCAAAATAGGATGATGGATTTTGTGCGTGTGTGCTGCCATTCTGATGCATTCAGAAACACTGCACACTGACCAGTATATCACTACTGGTTTTATGATGTTCTGTTGAATTTAAAAGGCTTTGGACCTAAATTTCTTCATGTCTCCTCTTCAAGAAGCAACAAAACGCACCTCTTGTATAGGTCTCTTTCTGCAAGATATTAGATGTATCAGTTTGGGTTTTTTAATAGCACTAGTTAGGCACCTCAGCCAGGTACCAAATGCCATTTGTAATTAATGGCAGCCAAAGGCATCTTAACAACACATATAATTCTCTAGAATGAGAATTTTCTTCTGGACTGTGAGAATTTCCTTAGGTTGCAGAGGATTTTGGTTTAGCTTCTCTGGCACCTGCTGCCTGCCTTCCTTTCCTCACTTGTGTTTGCAGAATGCATAATGGAGGAAAAGAAGCTCTTCCCAGCCTGGTTACGCAGATCACTTCAGAGGAGGGATGAAATGTCACTCATTTCATTCTTCTGTTAACACCAAAGAGCTCTGTGGTGTTAAAGTATGAAATAATACCATAACCCAGCTGCCAGAACCAAAAAATGGCACTGATAATTCACCGAAGGTTGGTCTTTTACAAAACACAGCATCAGTGCTAACCTTGGGAATTAAGAGAAGCATAGTGTTCCCTTCAAAGAAAGGCCTCATCAGCAACAGAGTCAGGAAGTAGGAGCCTTAGCAGACTGCCTGTGTCTCATTCTTCTAGTATGTTTAATATTTTATCCGTAGTAGAGGTTAGCATCATTTTTCTTGTCTGGCAACTTAATGTTGTAAGTGCATGGCCAAGTCCGGTATCATTCCAAGATAATGGAACTTACACGCATGAAAAGACTGTACGGCTCAAAATGAAGCACTGCAAGCACTGATAATGCCTGTATACTGAGGGAGAGTATGTGTGCAGTTAGACTGAGCACACACATTCTGAGATTATAGTCTTTGAGGATGTTGTCTGTGTGAAGCTTTTGACTAAAGTCAGTGAGAAGTGCATATTTCAGACTCCAGACAGGGCCTAGAATATGTCAAGCTGTCAGAACAAGCCACAGGTGAGAAAGAAGAGGGTTCCGATGCCCCTTTCCTATTCTATGGGCGCTAACCCATTTTTCTTCCATGCCTCTGTGTACTTTTATCCAAAGAACAAAGTGAAAACAAACATGAACACAAATACCAACCCGAGCATAAGATGGGAGTAACAGGAGGAGAGAGAAAGAGAGAAGAAAAAGTGACAAAAATTAGACCTTTCTTTCTGGGGAGTTGATGCATGCAGAAAAGAAATATCTCTGATAGTGATACAGTAGTAAGTCGGACTAGATTTTGCCAAGAGATATTAGTAATGTTTTCAACTCTTTCCAAAAAAGAAAACTCCTAGAAAATCTCTCTTGGGTATTCCTTCATCTTGGCTCTCACAGCCTATGCTAGCGATGAAACATAAGCCACTGCCTATAGAAAATGAGAGAATTTTGAGTCATAGCTTTTTTGGTGCAACTCGAGGTAGCCTCTGTGAAGTAAAAAGAATTGTCTCCAGAGTGTAATTCATTTTGTTCTTTTTCATTTACAAGCAGAGCACCTTTTCCTTCTACTTTCATTTTTAAAGGTGACCTGAATATTTGACAGTGTTCTTTTAAGTCACTCCACTGGGGTTTCTTACATATAATTACTGGCAAGAGACCGCCTCATCAGCATTCCCAAACTGGAGTTGTGCTTACATTCAGAAATGAGAAGGGTTAAGAAAGTGGGTAGCTCATCATTTTAAGCAAAAACAAGCAGGGTAAGGGGGAGGGGAATCTAAAATAAGATAGGCCATGGGTTACTATGTGTTAAGAGAATGTATGGTGATGAGTGTTTGCTATAATATCTTACCTTAGGAAGGCACTGTTTGGGATGACTGATGTGTTTCTGATGTCCTGCCTGATTTTCCTGTTTCACCTCCTATAAAGGGCTTGATCGTTTGGAATCCCCTTAGAAATAGTTGTGTTGTAAACTTTGCATTTAACAAGGATGTAGATGTCAAAGGTCAAAATTCACTTTTTTACCTTCTTCCTCTCTTTTTCTGACCCTCACCCCTTCCCCTTGATTTTTATAGGGCGATATCCATGAGGATTTTTGCAGTGTTTGCAGAAAAAGTGGGCAGTTGCTGATGTGTGACACATGTTCACGTGTTTATCACCTGGACTGTCTGGATCCGCCTCTGAAAACCATTCCCAAGGGCATGTGGATCTGTCCCAAATGTCAAGACCAGGTACTGTTTAACAGACAGAGAGTTATACACAATGCACTGCAAGGATTTTTCCAAGTTAAAGGAAACAACCGCATCGCTTGGCTTACTTACATCAAGACAGACTGACACTGAACCAATCTATCTGATCTGCAGTAAGGGTTGTGTAAATTTGATCTAATTACCTATGTCTTCCTTCTGGACTTGGGATCCTTATTTGTTACCTGTGTGTTTTCAGTCTTTTGTTGGGCCAAAGCACACAGACTTTTGGGAAAGGTTCTCTATTGCCCATAGAAATGCTCCTGTTCATCTGAACTTGTTTCTTTAAAAGTCACTGGTATGTTCTTTTGGATAAATATATCAAGTGTTTGTACGAGCTTGCCTCAATAGATTGAGAAAATACAAACCTCTCTTTTCTTATATAAATCAGGCATCAGAGACTTTGTCTTCAGTGATCTCTCTAGCAATATTGTCAAGCATCAGCATAATGAGAATGGGCAAATACTTTGGTCCTTCTTTATTCAAAGTACATAACTGAAGTGAACAGATGATATTTTAATATTTTGTTTATACTTGAAATGACAAGACAAAGAAGTAAACCAGGGTATTCGTAACCTTATGTGGCACTTCAGAAGTTGCAAAGGATTGCTGTTAATCAGCAGCCTGAAGCTGTTAGTGTTCTGTCTGGTTTAGCATATTGCTTAGTCACACACATGGCCAGATGGTAAGGTAAGAATACAACCTGGTATATTATGTGCTGCTCAGAGGAACAGGAATGCAAAATTCAAGTGGCTTGGTCAGTCATTGCAAATGAGGAGGAAGTATTACCACTTTTTCATTCCTGCTCTTGTGAACTATGGCATATCCTTCCTCTTTGTATTTCTGTAATACATTCCCACAGAATTCTGGGAAATATCTGAGTTATTTTACTGAAAAGTGACCAAGTCCTCTATCTCCTGAAACATCCCTCTGCTTCACTTATTAAAAAGACACAATACATTTTTCTTCTCAAATTAAAGCTCCTTAGGAAGGAATATGTGAGGAAGGCACTTAAATACATAAATGGTTCTTATCCTTATATAAAGAGGGCTTGATGATTCTATTAAGACAGTTCTGATACGAAGGGCATATAGGACAGTTTGATGTGTTATTAGCCCAGAAGAGTGTTGTTTAAATGTGTGGTATGGAAGCTGCTCTGTGACATGAAAAGTTTTCTCTCAGAACAACTGAGATCAGCAATTTGTCCAAACCATGCAATAATGTTTATGTCTCCTGGCAAGTTTCAGTTCAGATGCATTATCTTTTCATTCCTCTTTTAAGTTGTTCTTTTTCTTAGTTTATTTGTGGCTATGGGAGGGAATTTGAGAATATGCTGACATTTGTAAGAAACAGGCCTCCTTTGTGGGAGCTACAATAAGTTGTGAATAATTCCCTCTGTTAAATCTCAGCGCAGGTCTGCAAAGCTTCATGTTAACAGAGCTCAGATTAATGATAGCCACAGAGAAAATCCATTGTTTTTTCCCTTTCTTCTTTTTCTTTTCTTAGGGATAGATTGTTTACCAGCTAAATCTCTACACACTTTTCTTTCAGATGTTAAAGAAAGAAGAAGCAATCCCATGGCCAGGAACTTTAGCAATTGTTCATTCATATATTGCGTATAAAGCAGGTAGGAAAATGGGGAGCAATGGGTTTCAGTTTTAAAACTGGAAAATGTTATTGAGGGAATGGGACAGCATGATACTTCCTTTTCAAAAGGAAATTAAAGAGGAAGAACTTAATCATTGAAGTGATAATGGCAGTCCAAACTCTTAAGCTTTTTGTGATACTTGCATGTGCAAGTGAAATTTTGCTTGTGATTTATTGCAAACGTGGTTGAATTTACTTCAGTAATACTCTAAATGAAACAGTTTAGAGCTTATATCCACAGTGGTAACAGGAAGACTTTAAATATTATTTCTTGAGGTGATTAATATTCTGTTTTGCAGCAAAAGAAGAAGAAAAACAGAAACTACTTAAATGGAGTTCAGATTTAAAACAGGAAAGAGAACAACTAGAGCAGAAGGTCAAACAGCTCAGCAATTCTATAACAGTGAGTATCACCCTCCCAGATAAATCTGCACCGGTGTTCTGGTGTCAGAATGCAGATAGAAAACTGCAGAGCCCACGTACTAGACTTATCTTCCACTGGTTTTACTGAGGATTGAATGGGCTCTTTTAGGACTCTGCTTTTGTAGGACTTTTGGGATCAGGAATGAAATACAAGTGACATACAATCTGAGACACTCGTACATGATCCCTCCTGACCATATACTGTAGAATGCAGTGACCTATAATATCAGCAGGTGACAAACACGACCCACAGCAATATTGTCTGTGGGCAGCAGATGAGTTCTAATTCTCTAGTGCCTCACTTGAGTTTGAATGATTGGGCCTCTGTGTGTAGTAAGAGTTACTTGGTGCTCTCTTCAGATATTCCTAATACAAAAGTGACCATTTTCTCACAACTGTCTCTTGGGTTCTTGACATGCTGGCTGGAGAGTCAGCAAGCCTCTGCATATTACTAATCGAACAGTGTCATACTTCTGACTAGAAGCAGTACTGTTCTCCTAAATTTATGACAGTAACTGTGCATACGTATTAATTTGCTCTTAATATGCAAATTGGGCTCTTGAGTTGCCTGTGCAAAGTTTGAGCCCCCCCCGCTTAGCATGGCCTAAGTCAGTATCACAACATGAAAAATACTAAAACCTATGTGGCAGCTTGTGTAAAGCTGGGTATGTAAGTACAGACTTGTTTTTTTTTTCCAATGTAGATGCACTGTCTGTGTGTCTTTACCTCTTAGACGAAAAGTAAACATCCCATGTTTAAAGACCTCTAAATGCTAATGATACAATTAAAACAATTGTGAGCAAGTGGTAAGAGGTGCTGGCTGGCAGGTCTGGAGTCTGTCATCTTCTGGTTAGCAGTAGCTGGACATAAACTGAGCAGCACTGGTGCTGCTTCTCAGTCATATTACACAGAGGCAGAAGCAAGCCTTTGCAAGGATTGATAGTAGGTAAGGAGAATGGTGTCTTTTCCATGATCAAGCCGTTGTTTACACTTTAATTAGAACCATCAAACAAAGACACATTAGATCTAAATTTTGTAATGTTCTTGTGATGCCAAGAGCTGCATGTGAAAACAGTAAAACTGAAAATAAGAGTGTCTGGAGATCAGTGTGAATAAAAGACTTGAAAAATATAAGAAGGTTGCCATCTCTGTGTAAGATGCTGAAAGTTATGGGTGCAAAATAGCTACCATCTCTTTCTTTCTGAGGGTTTCAAATATAGATATAAGCAGTTTTTCACTCTTGAAACGTCACTTGTGGGCATTCATTTAAGCTATCGTACTCTGGCTCTTATCTTAGGAGCTACCTAGGTTACTACTGCTTCCAAGAGAATGAAGTGGCCACAAAATAAGATTTTCAAGTGAAAAAGGGCTTGTTTTTCATTTCAAGTGCCCTTTATTTAGTAAGAAGAGGAAATGTTCCTGTTAAAAGTGTATGTAAAAGCAAGGACTGTATCCCATTAATGGCGTGCACACAGTCAGCAGTCAGCTGTGATAGGATGCCTGAGTTTGCATATCCGAGCTAAAGAAATTCCAGCAATGCAGTGCTAACAGAAAAATAAGAACACGTACTTGGAAGTTTCCCTTCAAAAGGAACCCAAGAGGATGGAACTGTCTGTGTTGGTTTGCCGGGCGCCTTGGGATTAAAGGACCTTATTGGGGGGCAGCTATGTACAGACAGTTTAGTTCCTTAGCTTGCAAATATGAATGCCGTGAACGCAGCTCTGAGCCTTCTTTTCTTCTAGTCTGAAATTACAGGTAACGTTGCAGCTGCAGTCTTTTCTGAGTACTTACATTTAGATCCGCGAATGCTGAATTCCTTCTCTTGCCTGCTTCCATTCCTACAAGGGTAAAGCTTGAACTTAGCATTGCTTTTCTGTTTTGCTGCAGAAATGCATGGAAATGAAGAATACCATCCTTGCAAAACAGAAGGAGATGCACAGCTCCTTGGAGAAGGTAAAACAGCTGATCCGCCTCATCCAAGGCATCGACCTTTCAAAACCCATAAACTCTGAGGTCAATTCAGTAGCCATCTCCAATGGCATGGACTCCACTAACAATACTAATGCTGCCACCTCCACCTTAGCCCCCTCCCCTTCCCAGAGCTGCATGGTGAACTGTAACAAGGGCGATGAGACTAAATAACACAGTGAAGCTCAGAAGGAGCCAGGGGAGGTGGCGGCGAGGAGGAGAAGCGAAATAACAAAACTCTAGAAAAGCAAAACCGGATTTCTTCTGGAAAGTGCAGAATTCTTTAGTTCTTTGGTTCCAGAGAGAGCGTGAAGATGCTTGTGCCAGGCGGCACCGGAGTTTGCCAATTGATCCTTCTTATTCTGTGTGTACATGCAAAGTTTGGATCATGATACATGAATAGTGCCAGCTGGGGGTTCTTTGCCAGCACCATGCCAAGTGAAATAATATATTTACTCTCTCTATATTTTACACCAGTGTGTGCCTGCAGCAGCCTCCACAGCCACTATAGGTTTGTTTTATTTTTGTTTGGGGTGAGGAGCAGGGATAAGGGAGGAGAGCAGGTTTCAAATCCTTATTTGCAGAACAGTTTGTTTAGCTAGGGGAAAACAAAAACAAGTCCAAAGAGCCTGTGGGCTTTTCCTGTTTCTAAACTCTCAGTACTATTAAACCAAAAAAAAACCAGAAATATAAATTATCAAATCCCAGTGCCCAGAAGGGACAAGGCTATCAAATAAGCAGTATTTACTATTGTTTAGACAGGAGATGTACAAAAGGAAAGGAGATGGACTTTTCACTGAGTAACCAGCACATGTACAGGCTGAAGACCTACTGTCCCAACAGCTTTGGGTTAAATTGTACTTCTTCACATCAGAGAAATACATGCTTTGCAGAACTGATTCAAATCTTCACACTCATCCAGAAAGCCTGTGTTGGGAATGGGAGAATAGAGGGCCAGAATCCAGGGTCAGCTTGGAGTGTTGGATGGAGGTGTCCCAAGAGAAAATGTGCATCGATTACTTGAAAATGAGATTCCAACCCTTTTCTATATTTATAAACAACAAAACTGTCCTGAACAAAGTAGCACATGACCCAGATGTGTGAACTGAACAGAGAAATGTCCTTTTCTTTCACTTCTTTTCTCTTCTTTTGGTAACAAGAACTAAATAAGGAATAGAAAAGCTGTTTTTCAGGCTGACAGTCTAATTAAAGAGGTAGATGGGACCTTGCATGGTATAGATTAGAAGTAATAGTGTCAGTGAGATACAGTGAGTCTTTGTGAGTCCTTGTGTCATCGTTTTGGGCACTGTTTTTTTATGCAAGGGCAAAATCTTTGTATCTGGGGGTAAAAAAACAACTTTTTTAAATTAAAAAGGAAAATAAAAGATATTGAGGTCTTCCTAGTGTTACTTAAAATAAGATCAAGGTAAGAAACATTGTAAAAAAAAAAAAAAAAAAATTACAAAAGTGCTATTTGTTTCCTAAACAAGTGATTTCTATTAAAAAGGTGTCAGAACTGGAGAAAATGCTGTGTACTTAGAATTTTTTAACACAGACTTTGCTTATTTATGATGACATTCTGCTGTGTTTGTGTTTTAAGATCCAACGGGACAGTTTCCCTAGATTATACCATACATGCTACTGGCTAAACCCTAAAGAGAATCAAATCCACAGCGCTGGATCTCACCCCACGTGGAGGATCTGCCTAGCTTGTCTCTGCTGTTACCGTATCTTCCCCCTTCCTTGATGCGTGCGTAACCCAGAGAAAAGCACTGGCAGTGTACTTGCTTAAGGCTTTAATGCTTTTGTGATATGGACTGATTAGAGCTTGAGAATGAAAGAGCGTTTGTTGGGCTGAAGTCACTTTCATTATACCCTTTATTTAAGAAGTTCATCTCTTGCACATAGCCTTTTCACTATAGGTACCAAAGCTTTCCTCGTGCTCCTGTTGTGGTGGGGTCTGTCCCAGCGTAGAGTACTGACTCGTGTCACTTAGGGCTATGTCACAGAGCTGCCCGCTTTCACTGCTGCATGGAAATATTTGGGCAAACTCTGATTCCACTGGAAGTGCTGGCAAAACTCCCGTTGCTCCCAGTGGGAGCAGAGCTGAGCTTCTCCGCAGGCAGTACGAGGCCAGGTCCCTGCTGTGGTGCCCTCCAGAGCGTGCATTAGGCAGTCCTGCCCAGCCGCTGATCCTTCTGGAACAGAGAAAGCCTTGCATTTCAGGGCTGCATTTCTGAGAAAGAAGTAGCAAATGCTCCAAATGCTACATAGCCTGAAAGAGTCTCCTTGCTGCCGCAGCCAAGCATGCTTCTGCAGGATTCTTGGCGCTGCTCTCTTCCCCTTCCTTTGCTCACCCTCCTGACCTTTAAGGACTTCTCCCAGGACTGTGTGCTATTTTCAGAACTGAGCTCAGAACTGATATCCTGAGTTCTCATGTTTATCCGCAGCTTGGGAAAATGACTCTTAGGTGCACATCCCAGTGCACCTAAGTAAACCTGTGATCACCTCACCTCACGGTTTGGATATTTGCTAGCAGAGCTGTAGGATCAAACCGATCGAACTAAACATGTTCTACTTGCATCAACCCAATTACCAGTTGAAGTCATTACCATCGCACATCCTGGCCAGGTTCTTCTCTAGTTGGTTGCTTGGGTAACTCCCCTTCTTCTGAGCTGTGAAGTACATTCCCAGTAAGAGCCAGTATCTTCATGTTCTCATGTTCTTCTTTCTGGTGTTATTTTCTGAGCTCTGCTGGGAGCACTGCACTCCTTGGATGTAGTAAGCTGCTGGAAGACTTGAGAGTCCTTCTGTTTGCTTTGCTGTTTCAGGAAGGGATGGGAATGAAATTCACTGGTAGCTGCATTTAAATCTGAGCATAGTTACCCAGCCAGGAGATGTTAAAACAGCTGTTACTGCTTTTTCAAGGCATCTGCTTGTCTTTAGAAACTGAGTAGCTAAGTACAGACTTTTGTCTCCTTTTCTTCCAGCCTTGTGTTCCAGACTGTCAAAGGACACCTTTAGTTAATCATTGCTTGGCAGAGAAATGACCTCAACTGTTCAGTGCTGCTGGGTAGTTTTTGCTCCCTGATCCTGTTTGAGCACTTTCCTTCCTGGCTCTGCAGCACTATCAGCCAACAGGCAAAGATCATTCCCAGGGCTGTGCTGACACTGGCACTGATGTTGGTACACAGGCACGAGTAAATTTTTGCCCAATTAGCAGCAATGAGGTTGAAGGGGAAATGCTGTTTGCTAAATACAGAGGGAAATGTTGTTCTGTTTTCTACCTGCTCTCAGAGTTTCCAATGAAGGGCAAAATTCAAACTTTTTGACAAGTTTAAGTTCAAGCTTTTCTTTCGGATTTGTTGGGTGTTGTGGTTTTGTTCTGTTTTGTTTTTCTCTCATGCAACATTTGAGACAGGCTGAGTTGGTATTAGAACTTCTCTTCAAGAAGCTGTCCTAATGACTGGCATTTTGTATTTCCAAACCACCATAAAGGTAACAACTAATTCTTATGTCATCGCTTGTCATTAGTGGGAAATAAGTGGCTTTTAAGTCTCACTCGTAAAGGAGAAGAAGATGAGACCACAGAGGAAGCTCCTATCAGAGATGTTCCTGGCACTCAGCCTAGTGCTAAGGGCTTTCAGAAGTCATCCTGCTGCTTTAACTGCTCAGAAATAGAATAAGAATTGCAGAAACAGTTTTCCCCTTCTCCTCGCAATCTGTTCTTTAAGCAGCTGGAAAAGTATGGTGTGGTCAAAGCCTGAAAACGAGCATGTGATCTGGCCAGAAGAATTAGTGCTACCATTAGATCCTCTTTATCTTCGTTTAGTGCCAGCAGAACTTTTAGCGCTGTGCAAAATGCGGTGAAGGCAATCCTTCCAGGGATGAGTGGTGCAGATGGTTCTTCATTAGCCAAGAGTCACCATGGCAGTAGGAGGAACCAACAGTTTGCATGAACAGAGCAAAGATTTTGTCCTTTAAACAAGTGAATTTCTGTCAGTGGGGACATGAGCTAAAAGACACCTGCTGAGAAATTAAAGAGGTAAGAATTTTACAGGCACAGTATTGGTTGTTTTGATAGCAGAAAAAATGGCCTGGTATTTTATCCCTCCCAACAGACCAGGCTTGAGAGAGCAAATCTGTATTCCAGCTGTCTAGGTGTATAGACCCTAATTCTGGCCTCCTTGGCTTCAAAATCATCATCTTCCATGGACAGATGCAGAGGCAGCCCCAAAAAGCAATATGGTCAACATTGAAGTCTCCCTCTTGGTCGCACCATGCTGTGGCAGCCCACAATACAGGGAGTAAACTCTGACATCTCCTTCTCCTGTGGATGCAGTGGAAAATACCTGTGACTTTGCAGTGCATATTTCTCTTTCCTTTTGTTTCCCAGCTGAGTAGGGCCCCTGCCCTCTTTGCTTCTGAAGCACTGGTGACGAATATATGTTTTTTTAATGAAATGTGTTTTTAGAAGATCATATTCAGATGTCAAACCAGATTCACTCTTTCACTGGGGGCTTCCCTCTGCCAGCTGCTCAGATACCAACTCAAATACTGATATTACACTTCCTGGTGGACCATGCCCCTTTGGGCAGACTTTGTTGTGTCTTTTCAGAACTGTTCTGACCCTTCTTCACCTCCATTTTGTCCTCCTTTGGGATTCTGAAGATCTGGGGCAAGGTCAGCCTTGCTGGGTTACTGCAGAGAGTTTTCTGATAGACACATTTGTAGAAACTCTGCTGAAGAGTCAGGAACCTGGAGAAAGACAACAGCACTGTGTCGTGCAGCTGATTCATTTGGCACTGAGGCTTGCCTGGCCAACAAACTACCTCAGCAAAGGCCATTCCTGAGCACCGCATGGATTCTGTAGTTTCCATTATCCAGAAGGCAAAATGTCTCCAAAGAAGCCTTGCAAGCAGCCAGCTAGGTGCCGGCCTCTGAATGCGTGCGAGCGAGCCTTATAGCAGCGCATTATCAAACATTTGCTTTCATTGGTCAGACCTGGGCCAGGGAATGCCCTAAAAATCAGGGGGATCAGGAACACACAAGAGCTGCAGACGTCTCCAGGTTATTGCCGTCTTACTCAGATCCTTCTTTGAGCCTCAGTCTTGTTTGTAACACCTACAGAATGGAATGTAATACTTGAAAATATGACGCTCATTATCTTTTACCTTTAGCTCCCATTTTCCCAATGTTTATCTTTCATCTGGGACAAGAACTTTCTGCATCGTTGTGTCTTGTATAGGCTGAGCACATAGTTGAAACTTGCCAATAAAGAGAATTATTTATACCATGCGCTGGTAAGCTTGGTAATTACAAAGCCATGAAAACCCAACATCTGCTGGCTGTTGATTTAAGAGGTGGCCTTGTTTCAGAAGACCGAGACCTTACCTGTGTGAGGGTCTGCCAGCGTCCTGCCAGTGTGACACAGCTACGTGAGGAGCACGCAGAGAACAGCCCAGGCAAGGGCCTCTGTGCTGGGGCAATGGCTATCCTGGAGATCACCACACAAGGACGGGGTCTCGGGGGCCTCTCCTCACCCTGTGCCAGTGGTGGGTGCCGCAGGGATCAGAGAATGGGTCTGGAGACAGAGGGAGGTATGAGAGGAGGCAGGAAGAGCTGAAAGGAAGGGTATATGGGCTAAGGGAGAGCAGGGAGAAGACATGGGAACACGTGAGAAACAGGGAAGGTGAAGGCAGGAAAGATCCAGGAGTGACAGCTGCAGCTACAAGGTTTGTGAGTTCAGCAGAAGGACTGGAACAAAAGAGCTCTTTGTCCTACCTTGGTTTGTGATGTGGGTTGATCTGTACTCTAAAAAGACAAAGTGCAGCAGGAGAAGAGTTTTTAGGCTGCAGACGGAGAAGGAAACAGGCATCACACCACCTCAGCTCTGCTTCTGCTGCCTTTCTGCACCCAGTTTCCTATATACCCCTGTAGAGGGGCGGTCCAGCAGCGGGGTGAGGTGTACCAGCCGTAAGGTCACTGCAAGGACTGAGCCCGGAGAGCTGCTAGCAGGCAGGTGGCAGGAGGGCAGCAGGCTCTAGTGCTGTTCTTCACCATCATACCCAAGCAAGTGTCAAACACCCTAGAAACTCAGTCCAACCCACACATAAGGAGGAAGAAGGACTAAAGGACCTCTTTGCTCGGTGACAGGAGCCCCTAGGCAGCTCAGAAACTTGGTAAGCTCCGGCCTTGAGAGAGATGGCAGGGAAAGCCAGCAGCAGGGAGCAGCATGAACTATTGGGCTGTGGCAGTTTGCAGCTTTTATTTTATTCCTGAACCTACACCAGGATGCACAAGAACCCAACCCTTGTGTTGCCTGCCTTCTCCCTTCTGTCACTGAGATAGAAACGGTGTTGCCCAAACTTTGGGAGAGCCCTTCTGGGTGCCACTGGGTAACAAAACACCACATTGGCAGGTCTCACCCCAGCACATAGCCTCAGGTTTGGGCCCTCAGTGTCTGGAGGAAGAAGCTGTGCCACCATGAGTCAGAGCGTGCCAAGAGGGAGGAAGGGGAGCATTTACTTACAAGAATGGAAGGCCCCCTCCATGCCTTGTTTTCCCTGCTGCGCAACAGCTGATGGCCACATCAAGCACCGCTTCTCTTGGGCTGCAGGTGCTGAGAGCAGGCAGTGCTGAATAGGGGCAGTATCAGCAGCAGGCTGCATGTTTCTGCTTGTTCTAGGATGATGTGCAACTTCTAATCTTAGTCTCATGTAGTTCTTTCCTTTAATTACCGCTGGTATCAAAGCAGTGGCTGCCTCTAGAGCCGGGAGCAGTGCCTCACCCATCAAACCTCCTTCCATCGGGCTGCCCAAGTCACTGCTGTGACGGCAGCCACGGCTTCCTCCGAGGACTCTGCTCCACCCTGGCCCCAGGCTCAGCCCCGGGACCACGAGCTGCCAGCTCAGCCACAGCTTCAGGGCACTGCCACAGGTGAGGAACCCTGCTGGGCCACCCCAGCTCTGCTCTGTGGCCCTTCAGCCACTGCTTCCACCACTCACCAGGGCTGGGAGCAGCCCCCTGGCAGGTTCCTGTCACTGCAGACCTCCCGTGCAGCACCCTGAGCAGTGCCCCGATGTTCTCACAGCACCACACATGAGAGCACCCACACAGGAGCTGGATGGTGATTTTTATACATATCTTCTTTTTTTTTTTTTTTAAATCCTGACTCTGATAGTGACCTGCAGGCTCTTTGTTGCCTTCAGGTCCCTGCTGGTTTCAGTTTTGGTACAAATGTGTTTAGATTTTAGCAAATTAAACTGGGAAGGGGTGGGGGGATGGGGGTACAGAGCACCTGATCGATTTGTATTTATTTATTTTAACACTTTACTAAATAAAGCACAACAAACTCTCTCGTCTCCTCAGCTGTGTCTCAAGGAGGGGCTCAAGGCCCATCCCAGCCCTGCCCTGCACCTCCTCACACAGGGGCTGTGCTGGGGAAGAACCACCCTGGCCCCTCCACGTAGGGTTCCTCCAGCTGCTGCGCTCCAGTACATGGAGATTGAAGCCCCTATTGATTCTAGGAACCCAAACTTCCTGTGCTAAGGGCTGGCTGTGCCACCCCTGCAGGGCCCACAGCAGAGCCAACCACAGGGCTGGCACTAAAAGCCACAGCTGCTCCTTCCCATGGCTCCCAGCAGAGAGCAGGCTGAGCAGGACAGGTAAGGTGCTGTCTGGATCTGATCTGTGTTGCTGCTCAGGCTGGTGATAACAGCAAGCTATGGCATTACTAAACAAATGCTGTCTGCTAGGGGACAGCCAGATGCAGTCATGCCTTTTGCTGCACTAATAACAAGCAAAGGCCTTCCCAGCCTGTTCCCAAAGCCAACAACTTGCTCCCAGCCTGCTGCCACCCCATCTACCCCTGCAAAGGCTGGGCTTCCTGTTCCAGGCCCAGGAGCCAAGTCCTTACCCCAGGCTGTGCTCCTACCAGCACCGTGAAGCCAGAGCCCTTTGTTTAGGTCCCAGAGCCCTTTGTTTAGGTCCCAGTGCCCATCCAGGACTCAGCCACGTGCTGCTGGGGGCACACAGCCATGCTATGAAGCCACAGACCAGCCCACAATTTGGCTGCACCGCCATGCAGGCTGCAGTGTCCACCACCAGCCCACGTCAGGGCTCACCCACTGAGCACTGACACCAAGATTACTTCTACCAGCCTGCTCCCTCGTGCTTGTGCAGGTTCGCTGCAGAAAGCATTAATAACCACATTGTTCTAACAAGGATATGAAAAAGAATAAAAAAGCTTTAATTTAAAAGTTAAATTAAAAAGAGAGAATAAGCAAGAGGCGCTTGTGCCCTTCCCAGACAATGCAATTTGGATGGCTCCTCCTGGCCATTCCTACCACGGACGGAAATCTTCACACCTGCACAGCTCTAGCTCTTGCAGACCAGAATAATGCTAAGAGAACAGCATAGGTTGCAGCAGCTCCGGGCCTGGAGCTGCTCCAGTGCCAGCAGCAAAATCATCCAGGTGCAAGAAAGGCTTAAAAAACAAAACAAAACAAAACAAAAACAAAACAAAAAACCCATGACACCCTAACCACTGAATTTTTATGAGAAAAGTATAAATAATTTAAATAGCATGAGGAAAGCAACACATCCTCTGTGCTCCAGTGTGTGACAGCTGCAGAGCAGAGCCAGCCACGCTGCTCCCACTGCACAGACCACAGTGCTCAGCTATGGCCTCCCTGGGGTCAGTCCCATCCCTGATTGTTGGTGGCAGCCCTGGCACTGCCAGGAGTCGGGGAGGCACTGGGGGTCCCTGCCATGAATTCTTTCACAGGAGCACAGACCCCCTGTGAAGCTATGCCATCCACCACAATGGCAGAAGGATTGTACCAAGCACCAGACTGCTTTCACTTATAGCTGGGTCATCCCAGGAGAGACTCTGCATCCACGGGGATGAGGAGCCAGCCTTGGTCCAGGGACTCCGCAGCTCCTAGTGATCTCTGGCCTCAGCTCCTAGATCATCAGGACGCCTCTTCTGAGGCCTTGCTCCACAAATGATGCAAGAGGATGGTCCCCATAGCCATCTCCCACTCGCCAAGGCTCCAGGGATGTGCAGAGGATTGCAAACTGGGACTGCAGAGAGGAGCAGAGCGAGGAAAAGTGCAGCTCCAGGGCCTCTCGAGGCCCGGCCCCGGGCTGAGGTGAGCTAACAAAAGCTGTGAATTGATACCTGCTAGAACTAGGGATGGGAAGACCAGTCCCCCGGCACAGTGGAAACTCCCCTGTTAACACAGGAATGATCTGAACAAATCCTGGGCCACACTGCAGCAACTCAACCCACAGGCGCTGCCTGATCTCACAGCTGGCATCCTCCCTCTTATCTACAGACATCCCATTGCAAATCAGATCCCTTGGGCAAGGCTACGAGGCAAGCTGGGGCAGGAGGCCCTGCACCCTCCCTTCTCCGCCTGCTACCAGCACCCTGCACCCACTGTCCCCAGGTGTCATAGGTTCCTCTCGGCAGTGAGGTATTTGAGTGCAGCAGCCCCGTATCTCCGCGACAGGTCCTGGTGGAATTCCTCCCGCAGCGTTTGTAGGCAGCCCCGGTACCCAGCATTCAGGCGAAACTTGGAGATGTCGAAGCTGGGAGCGTGGGGCATGTGGATCATGAAGGCATTGGGCAGTACCAGCAGCTCGTACTCCTGGGGACAGAGCGGCAACTGTCACCATCAGCACAGTACCAACACCTCACTGCCCGGCCGTGGCCCCGGCACCCACCTGCGCATCCAGCTCCATGATGTGGGACACCTTGTTCCAGCCGAAGCCCACGAACCGCTGATCGTACTTCGGGCAGTCTCGCCTCACTACAACGTAAGGCTCAAAGTCTGGTTGCCAGGCCACACGGTACGGTACGGTGGCTGTTCGCCACTTGGCATAGTCAGTTGGGGCATGGCCTTTTGGCCACACGTGGTACCTGTGAGGAGAGATGGAAGTGAGACACCAGGAAAAGCGGCCGCACTATGGCCCCAAGGCACAAGGATATCAGACTGGCTTCTGCTGCGTGTGGCAGCCTTTGGGATGGCAGGGAGCTCCAGGGCTTACCTGAAGGTGTAGAGGGAGCCCATGTCCAGCATGGAGAGCAGTTCTGCTTTGGATTTGGGGAAGGTCAGGCGGTAGTGCAGGGTCTCAAATGCCGGCACAATAAGAGCTGCCTTCCTGTGAGGCAACTCCAGCTGCTGGATGGAGTTCCTACAGAGGTAGAAAGGGGGGTGTGAGGCCTCTGTGGCCATCAGCTGTGACTACAGCCCCATTCCTAATTCCCCCTCATCAGCCCCACCAGCCCACCCACAGCTCCATAAAGGGATTAATGCGTTTAGACAGCACGCAGTGCTGCCATACAGGAGCCACTTCTCCTTCCTGATCCACTGCTGTCTGATAACAGGAAGGACAGAATCACAAGATTGAGCAGAAAACAACCCATTTCTACACATAAGAAATGGCTGTCTGGGGCACGTCCTGCAAACTCCTTACCTGAGGTAATCGTAGAGGCCATACATCGGCAGGAAGTCAATGTCAGTCAGAAAGACATACGGCGTCTGTGTGTTGGCCAAGGCCACGTTGCGCAGGAGGTTGATAGGGTAAAACTGCCCCTCCTTGTAGACGATGTGGTAGGCGACATTGCGGCGGGCACTCAGCACCTCCGAGGCCTGGGCGTAGCGCAGGAACTGCTGGGCCTCCGCGTCTGACATGTACAGCGCCAGGCTGATGGGGCCGGCCCAGTGTTTGCAGATGGCCTCCAACATCTGTAGCCTGCAGAGCAGAGAGCACTGTGTGAGTGGGAGCCCTGCCTTGTGGGAACCTGGTCAGACCCAGAACTAAGGGCTGTCAGAAAGCTGCAAGCCATCCAAGTCCAGTTCAGGAGAGAGCGGAGGGAATTACTGCTCCCAAAACGGGTTGCTTGCTGCTCCTTGCTGCAGTGCTCTGGTGTGAGAGTGAGCAGCCCATGTTACAGATCCCACGTAGCTCCTGAGTTGTAAAGTCACCCCAAAGGCAGTGGAGGGGGAACCCCACCATTCATCAACCCCACCGGTAAGTACCTGTCCATGGAGAGCTGGGCCACGAGGGTGACATCGGTGGGGTTGGGAAGGGCCAGGAACTCGTACTGCAGGAAGAACAGGTGGACACGGTGCTGCGTGAGGTGCTGCCGGCGGAAATCATAGCAGGGATCATCCTCATCCAGCTCCTCGAGTGCCTGCTGCAGCTGCAACACCACAAAGGTGAGGCATGGCGGGTGACCATGGGGGAGCACAGGGAACTGCCGGCATCTCTGCCTGTCCCGTGCCCTGGGCCAGGACAGAGCTGCGGTCAGCCTCACCTGGTCGCTGGGCGGGCTGGGGAGACTGGCGCAGCCAAAGAGCTCCCTGCGCAGCAGGTTCCCATCGTACTCCAGGAAGGTCAGGTAGAGGTTGCGGAAGAACTCCACATGCTTGTTCTTCACCCGCAGCTTCTTGGGCGAGTTCCAGTGGATTACCTGGGAGCAATGGTACATCATGCTGCGGAGGGGAGGTCAGCAGCACCCAGTGCTTCCCAAAGCCCTCAAACACCACTGCTGACTGCCCGAGACCTCTGGATCCTGCACCCTGTCTCCTACATGGCAGAAGCATCTAGTAGGAAAAGCACAGGCCTCCTCATAGGAGAACCTGTGATTCTGCTTCAAATGCCACAAAAGTCTACCCACCTTGAGATCTGAGACCTCGGTGTAGCACAGCTCTGAGCGGGTATGATCGGAGAGCTGCACATTCCAGAAGCACGGGAGCCGATACACCAGGGCTGGGTTCTGCTTGATCACTGCATTAAAGATGTCCTGGGAGAGAGAACGGCGAGTGCAGAGGAGGATAAAGGGGACAGAATGGCCCCCATATGACAGCACTGCTATGGGAACACAGCAGGGCTGGCCACCCTGGAGGCCTTACCTGATCGGCCAGCGAGGTGGAAAGCATGCTCATGAGCTCCCGCTCTGCCGTCAGCCGCCACATCTGCTCCCAGCCCAGGCGACGCAGACGGTCCAGCAAGAGCAGGATCACCCCTGGGTGCCAGGAAAGAGGAGGCTAGGTCCACCGGTGGAGCACAGCAGCCTGCATGCCTCCAGCCTCTGGGACATGCCACTTCTGTGCACACATCTCCAGGATGCTGTAGCAGTTCCACATGCCCACGTCAGCCTTCCCCAGCCTCCCCACACACACACTGCCCCAGCTGGGTGTTCTGTCAGAGTGCAGAAGCCATCTCAGCAGCTCTCACTCACCTGTGTTGAAGCCACGTCCCAGTGCTGGCCATGGTTTGTGGTTCTTCCAGAGGTTGCCCAAATACCAGTCACTTTGGTTCTCCACCAGCCCAATCACCTGCTTTTCTGAGGAAAGAGAGGGACATACACGTGGCCCACACCTCTACAAGTTTGGAAGGTGCAAGCAAACCTTCTACATTAGTTCTGAAGCTGATGGGGACCACCATGCTGATATGGCAGCAGGCCCTGTCAGAGCTCCAGTGGGTCCCAAAGGCTCCCCGTCCTCACCAGAGAACTTCCCGAAGACAGCCCAGAGCTCAGCAATGTCAGTGGCGAAGGTGATGTCAGTATCCAAGACGATGACCTTGGAGAGGTTGGAGGGCAGTGCCTTGGTGAGCGTCAGCTTCATCAGCCCGTAGATGCCAGAGTAGTGCTTGTTGGGAATCCACGACACCTCTGGCTGCAAGGTGACATGGCCTCAGGGCTGGGCATGGGTGGGCTCTTCCTGCCTGGGCAGGAGAGCCATGTTCTCATACAGAGGAGGCCAGCAGAGGGGCACAACAGGGTTGTAGAACCAGGAAAAAGCATTAACAATCTCCCTCCCACTCTCTCTGCCACTCCCCTGGGACCCTCCAAGCACCCAGCTGAGATAGAAAGCGAGGAGAATGCAGAGTGGAGAGAGTGCCTGCCTTCAAATCATCGGCGTTGTAGAAACTGACGTGGATGGAAGGCACCATCCAGGACTGGAAGAGCGTCTGGAGGATCTGGTGGGCCACCGAATCCGTGATGAAGTGAAAGTGGAGGGGGTTTTTCCTGCCAAGGGCAATGCAGCAGCACTCACCACCACAGCAGGAGGAAGCAGACATGGTTCCCATCTCTCCCACCACGGCAGGGGACAGACATCAAGCACATGGAGAAAAATCACACCTTTGGGGGTGGAATACAACTACCCTCTGTCCCTTTAAGTCTCAGAAATGACACAGGAGGCAGAGAGAGGACTTAAGAGTCTCTCTCCTCCAGCACTACCTTCCCTATAGCATATCTGGGAACCCCAAACCATCAGGCCTCTGGCACAGCACATCCCTATTACCTGTGGAAGAGGATGGATTTCACCAGGGTGACCACATCCCGGCTGGCATTGTGTCCAGCACACACAATTGCAACGTGCAGGAGCTGCCCAGAGACAAACATTGCTTTTTTGAGACTGGCTTCTTCCTGCAAAGGACAGTCAGAGCCCCAGCTCCCTCTGAGCAGCCCTGTTGGCTGTGCCACCCACCTCACACTTATGCACCATCCGCTGCTTGGGGCAGGCCGTGCGGTTGTTCCTCTCACCTCGAAGGGGGGGCCCATCCTCGGCAGAGGCCCCCCACTGCGGGATGCCATCGCTGCCCTCCACCTGCACCTGGCCAAGCTGCATGCGGAGCTGCTGGTTTTCCTCCTCCACCCGGCGCACCTGCGAGGCCAGGGCCTCCCGCTCCACATCCCGACTCGGCTGCTCGCCCAGGCACGGTGGCAGCAGGAGAAAGCGGCCGTCTGCGGGGACATGGGGGGGACATGGGGTGAGACACGTGGGCATGGCAAGAGGGCAGTGGTAAGCCAGAAGAGACTGTGTGGGGATGGAGGCGGAGCCCCAACCTGATCAGAGAGGTCCTAGGACACCCCACGTGCCCAATGTCACAGCTCTGCTCCAGCAGTCCCCAGGAAAACCCCTAGGGCTCTAAAGACCAGTACACCCACAGCCATACAGCAGCCCTACCACAGCCTTGGCCTCTCTAGCCTGCTCTGTGCTGGGGACCTTCCCAGAAACTGAGGGAGAAAGATTCACTTACATTCAAGGCTGCCCATGAAGAGGTAGAGCCAGGAGAGGAGGACGGCAAGGGTGACGGTAGCGAGCAGCAGCTTCAGCTTGACACGCCAGGAGCACAACATGATGGGCTGGCGGAAGCGAATGCCAAGGATCAGGTGGGCAGGCCTAGTCTGGCTGGCCCCAGCATCCTAGAGCCTGGAAGGACAGGGAAGCAGAGAGCAGGGTCACCAACAGCCCTCGGCATCCTCTGGGTGTAAGATCTCTGGTTCTGGACTGCTTCCCAGTGCCTGCCCTTGGGAGAGAGAGCAGAGCCCTCCCCCACTGCACTTGAGGCAAAGCCTGAAGGACATGGCTGGGCTGGGCAAGTTGTGCTGCCAGGGAGCTCAGCCCATGCTGAGATAAGTGAGGAGCCCCAGCCCAGCCCACTGGCTGCCTTCCCAGCCCTCCTGCCAGCAGGGGCATGGGGGAACTCCAGTGGCATCCCTTGTCTCCTCCCAAGATCCCAGCAGGTCAAACGCCTCCGCTCTCTCCTCAGGCTGAATGCAGCTACCCGCCCTGGTAAAGTTTGGTGTCACACTTAAAAGATTCCAGGCAGTCTGGAGCATCAGCTTAAAAGAACACATGGCCTGGGGGTGGCTGGAGGGGGTGGGGGAAGCAGAGGGGACTTGGGCATGCTGCTTTCACTGCTCTGAGATGCTGCTCCATGGCACCACGCTATCTGCTTTGTCCCCACATCCCAGCCCAACAGGGGAAGCACCGCTGTGCCCACACACGCAGCTGGAGGCACCTGCAGGGCTCCTGCCCTGCAAACACAAGCCATCCTTTTTTACATAGGAAGAAAGAGGTGGAGAAATTGTGTGCCACCTCCCAGGTCAAATGCAGGAACAGAAAGATGGCCTCAAAAAGCACTGCCCTATGACCTCCCTCAGGAGCCAGGTGCATGGGGCAGACAAAGGTACCGCAAAGCAAGAGACCACCAATCTCCCCCCCGTCCCCTGCCTGGCCCAGCATTTGAAGGCGCCACAAAAGCCCGCGCTGCCTCTCGGATGAATGGGCCGGATTAGGGCCTCTTCCACTCCCCTCCCTCCATGCACTCCAGAGCCCATTGATGTGCAGATACCAGAGGGCCTCTGGATGAGGCGGGCAGCCTGGGAGGACACAACCTGGGTGAGGGGATGGCGTACCAGTGCCCCCAGGCAGGAGCCGCTCCCACAGGCACGGTGGGAGTTGAGGCACCAAGTGGGCATAGGCTCCTTCGCCCTGCAGGACCCTGATGAGGAACTTCAGCATTTCCTAGGGCTCCACACACTGCCACTGCACATGACCTGTCCTACAGACCCATCTCCACCATCCCACCTGTGCACCAGGGGTCCCTCAAACTTTGTGCTGAGCTCACTGCACAAAAGGGGGAGTGAGGAGAGCAGGAGACCAGCAGACACTGAGCTGTCCAAAAAAACCAACCGATGGGAAAAAGACCTCCGTGCCAACAAAGAAGGGACAGCCCCGCTGCTCCCACTCATCCCATGGCCTCTGTCCCACTTGCCTGCAGTGCTGGGGACCCTCCCAGTAGGGAACAGCGCTCTCCGCACACAAGCACGTGGCTGGCACAGCAGTTTTGGGGAACGCAATGGGGCTAAGACAGCAGCAGGCCCGGGGCAGAGATGCTGAAGCGGCCCCAAGGAGTCTGTACTCTGCAGCACCCCCAACCCCTCCCTCCCCACATGGCCCCTCGCCTGCCCCAGGCAGCAATTCCCTTACCTGCCTTCCCCTTCTCCTGCCAGTGCCTCCCAAGTGGCTCTCAGCCTGCTGCCGCACTCCCTCCTGGCTCTGCCTTTCCCAATCCTCCCTTTACTCCTCCCTTTCAGATCTGACACTTCCCCCCCAGCTCCTCCCGCTCTCAAACCCGATCTCCCCCCACCCGCACGCCCAGCCCTGGCCCCCCTTTCAGAGGAGGAAAGAACAAACAAAACCAGATTAAATTCACTTGCTGCTCGAGAGCCCCCCACACTGGGGCAGTGAGCTGCCCTAAGGCAGGCAGGAGAGACCCGCCTGCTGCCCTGCAACTCCCTCCATGATCCCAGGCCCTACGAGCCCTTCTTCAGTCAAGATAAGGACAGTGTTAGGGTTTGGTACCCCATAACCAACTGCTTTCTCTTCTCCCAGGGCAGGTGCAGGGCACTGTGCCATCCGTGGGGGGAGCTGGAAGACAGCTGTGAGCTGTCTGTGGGCTGCTCAGCTGCCATCCCGATGACTCGGAGAGCAGAGATTGCAAGCACTCAGGCTGCAGGTGCTACGTGGACAAGCTGCAGGTGCAGGAAGGAAATGGCGCTGCCCACCCATGGTCCAGGAGCAGGGCAGGCCTCCAGCCCCAGTGGCCTGGGAGCGCGGCACCCCAAAGAAGTAGCAGCAGCAGCAGGAGCGGGAGGCAGGGCTGGGAATGCTAACTATGCAGAGACTGCCTCTACCTGCAGCTCCCCTGCGCCTGGCCCCAGGGCTGGGAAAGGCAGCTCCTTCCCCTGGGACAGAGCGGATGGAGGAGCTCCTGCCCTCTGCCTCCCACCACGCAGGGAGCAGGCACAGCAGGGTGGCAGCATGGGGGGACTGGGATGCAACTGTCTGCATAGCAAAGGAAACGAAACATAAATTGTCCTCCACCCCATCAGCTGCAGTAGCAGGCATGGGCCTGCCTTATGAAGATGGAGCAGGGCTGGGGAGGCCTGGTCCCCACCCAAGCAGTACAGAAATCACTGCCCCAGGAGATGCATTCACCTCCTGCTCGGGCTCATGCTTGTCTTTGCAGAGCTCTAGGCAGAACAGGCTGTTAATAAATAGCACCTTAACAGCACCTTCCTGCCCAGCCTGGCCCCAGCAGCAAGAGGAAACCCCCATGGGCCCCACTCCCCTGAGCCAGCTGTACCCTCCGTGGGAGCTCTACCTTCACTCCCCAGTGGATCTCAGCCCCCGGGGCCTGCCCACCCCATGCTATCCATCACATAGGAACTTTAGGGCTGCGGGGGGGGGGGGGGGGGGGAAGAGGGGAGGAGGTGGCAAACAGGAAGGCAATTACACAGCCTCTCCTCCCCCACACAGTGAGCAGAGCAAAGCACAAAGCAGCTCCCAGCCAAGCACCACTCTGGGAACCAGTGGCCATGACATCACGTGAGTGTGCACTGTGTGGAGGGCCCTGCCTGTGGTGTGGACCATGCACTGGTCTGCATGCAGCGTTCACACCTTCCGCACACAGCTCTACCCATACCTGCAGCCCCGGCACTTGTCCCCAGCCTCCCTTGCTCACACTCCCTGCTCACAACAGATGAGCACTGCCCATCGTAAGATGAGCTGTTCCCCAGTAGCACTGTTCTCCATTTCCAACACCAGCACAAGGATGTGGGGTAAAGTGCTGGCCACAGCAGGTTGCCCTCCTCCCTCCCCCATGCCTCTCACAGGAGCAGGGCAGCTCCAGAAGGAATAGAGACACACAGGACAAAGGGGCTCAAGGTCCCCCCAAGGCCAGTCCGTTGCTACAATAAGGGTCACCTCAACTCCACCTCCTGCAGTGACACAAGGGCCATAGCCATCTGTACTAACAGGGCTCCAGGCCCAGCAGGGCCTCCCACCCAGGAGTCAGAGGCCACCAACCTGCAGCCAGGCCTGGGAGAGACATCAGCCACCACCACTAGGAAGGGTGTTGAGGAAAGCCACACGTGCCTGCTTGACCTCTGAGGAGTCAGCAGCAGCACCTGCCCACCATGCCCCCAGGCTGCCCACAGCCCCGCAGCGCCCTTGTTCTGGCTCAGTCTAGCCAGCCTTTGCTCTCCCTGACTCCCTGCTCCCCATCAGGTGAGGAGTTAATGTTTAGGGAGCGCTAGCACGGGTCATGTGAAAGCCCAAGGCTCACCTTCCCCCAGCACAAGCAAACTGCTGGGCCAGTCCCAGCAAAGAGACGGGGATGAAAAAAGTCTCTGAGGAGAGGCAACAGGGGACAATTCATTTTGCTCCTCTGAGTAAAAACAAGGGGACAGACAGGCTCCTTGTTCAGCAGATCACTTCTCTGCAGCACCCAGCTGCAATCAATCAGAGGTCATCTCCCTTCCCATCTCCAAGATGCCTCCTCCATGCGACAAGGGCCGCACCAGCAGATACCACACAGGCAGCTCCGAGCGGAGCAGATGCAGGAATGTACAGAGGCGGAAAGGAATTTGGCCAGGAAAGCAGGATTAAAGCCCCATGCTCCGGATTACCACTCCACCCCTCCTTCTCCCAGTCTTATGATAAGTGAAACTGAAGTGAGAATTTCACCTCCGTATCTCCTTGGGAAGAGCAACCTATGGCAAAGCAGTCACCATATTCCAGAGATGGGATCAAGACACAGGGTGAGAGACCAGAATACGGGCTGTAAAATAAGAACACATTGTTGCCATCCCTCCACAATCACCAAGCTACGGAGAAAGCTCTAAGATGAGCACCTCCTTGCTTCTGTGCCTCAGTTGTGTCTCATTCTTGTGTATTTTATTCCACAAAGGTCACACTGAAAAAGCCACTGTCTTCTGACAGAAGAGCACACCGCTCAGGAAACAGGAGCTAACGGCCCCCAAAGGGTGTTAGCTGAAGCTCCCAGCTTGGCCAAAGCAGGGAGTTTCATCACCAGACTATTTCCTTTTCTCTCTCAGAGCACAAGGAAACCAACAAGTCCAGACTGAGCCTGACACAGGCACATGCCTCACTGCTTGCCTCTCCACATCTGAGGCCCATGAACACATCAGGGAACAGTTCCTGCTGGCAGGAACACTGATCATGAGGCTCTGCTAGACACAGCCTGCTCTAGCTGAGCACACAGCCAGGCTCCTACCCACAGCTGGGCACCTGGGGTTCTGCTACATCATCTGTGGGGCAAGCACAGGGAGCCAGGATTTACAGCATAGCATGCGAGCAGTGTGCAGGAAACTTAGGTTTGCCAGATGTCCCACAATGTTTGCAAGCCACGCAGGTGCATTTCACCACCACCCTCAGGCAAGGCATGATAGGGCCACCCAGACCCAGCCCTGTCAGCAATGTGCTCTCACTCCTCTTAAGCCTGTGGAGAGGCTGGAAAGACCCAGCTGGCAACAGCGTTCAGCCACACCTGGGTTGCATGCCTCTGCACATGCTGCATTTGTCCCTCTGTGCAGCAAGGGAATCAGCAGGATACAGAGGCCTGCATCACATCATCATGTGCTCTCCTGGCCAACACAGCTAGGAGAGGAACCAAGCCTGGATTCTGTGCAGCAGTACAACAGGGGACAGAAGGATCCTGTATGCTTCTTGAAACAGAAGAGGAAAAGCATTTGGGCTGATCTCCAACTCCCATCCCTCCGCTGGGATCAGGTTTCTAATATCTGCATTTTGCTGATGACTGTGCTGCAGCTAATGGCCAGCTCTGAATGCACGAGGTTCACTGCGTCCCTGTCTCCGGACACTGAAATCTGCTCACTAGGCCATTTCCTGATTCCTATGGCTCTCCTAACTGCTGCAGGCATGCGGCAAACAGCAGCATGTTCCTGGGGTAAGAGCTAAGAAGCAACAGCAGGGCCAGCAGTCAGGAGCTCCAGCTTCTATCTAAGTCTGTCTTAGCAAGAACTCTTCTAGCAGTGCCCATTGCTGGAGCATACAGCAGTCACCACGCCCCACAAAGCAAAGGGATGAGAATGTCACTGTGCATAGCAATGCCTCAAACTTCCAGCTAGCAGCGTGCAACCTACCCCGATTCACCAAGGTAGGGACTGGCAGGAGGTGTCCTCCCATGCAAAACATCCCTCCTCCCCACCAACCCTGGGTAGATGCCAGGGGTGCAACTCTGAGCCAGGCCCCAGGTACCCAGGGTATCTCACTGCCAGCTGAACTGGATAAGTGTTTATGGCTGAATAGTTTCTGATTGTGAACTGAAATTTCCAGACAGCTCTGGAGTATTTGCTACTTCATGACAAGTTTTGAACAAGAACAAAATGCTTTGCTTTCCAAGCAAAAAGTCTCACTTCACATTGTTTTGCTTGCAATTGAGCTCTGTTACATTTAAAAGATAAAAAATGTCTCTCAAGCTGGGTTGTGGTTCCTCTCATTTTCTTCCAGCCTTTGATTTTGGGCACTGAAGCCATGAATTATTTGCTCAGCTCTGCTCTCTAGACAAGCTGAGAGCAAAAGAAGCCAAAGGGATGCAGGAGCTGTGTTTAAGCAGCAGCACTAAGGAGGGTGATGCTCTCTGCACTGCAGGCTCCTCTCAGACCTCAGACTGAGCTCTCCCAAGACCAGCAAGCACTCACAGGGCCCTGTACAAGGGAGGCCAAGTACAGCACAGAAGAGGCATCCTCTTGTCCTAGCAAGCAGCAGTTCAGAGTACCAAGAAATCACACCACTGGCTGAAAGACAAATGCAAGGCAGGGCTTCTTGCACAAGCTGCTCTCCAGACCTTGGCCAGTACACTAAGGTCCCTCACTGGGGCTGCTCTTCTGAACACCTCCTGCAGTGCCCAAATCCATTTCACCAGGCACTTGAAAGCATGTCAGAGGAAAGGAAGGGCAGACCCTCTGCATCCCATTTGAAAACGGATGACAGCACAGAGGAGGCTGACACTCGTCACAAGGCAGAGCTGCTCACAGCTGGCCTCTTCCACCAGGGACTGGCCCAAACTGGGAGCTGTGCCCCAACAGCCACTCAGGGCTATTTGTGGCATTGATGCCCTCAGTGCCCAAGGAGGGCTGAAAGTAGAGCTTGCTGCAAAAGAATGGAACAACTGCACTATAAATAGAAAATGAGGATGGCTCAGGGCAGGCTCTGCCCTGCCTTGAGGGACGTATTAAAAACCCAAGCAGCAATACTGCCATCCAGTCAGAGTACCGTGGGCATTTCATAGCCCTGAAGTGATATCTGAGCTACAGACATGCACTGCAAATTAGCTCTGACACTGCAGAAGTATTGCTGTTGGTTGGTCTGAGAGTCAGCAAACTCAGCTGCAAACAAAACCTACATGGGAGTATTTTGCAAACTGGACACAAGGAAGCAACTGACAGGGGGAAAAAGAAGGGAAGTGAATCCCAAGAAGGTGGTTCCTGAAGGAAAGGGGAGATAAAAATACCCCTGAAACCCAAACTGTGCTGACCCTCCCCAGTACTCCTCCCCATCTTATCCTGCTGCTAACTCTGTTCCCACCCCCAGGGCTTCCTCACACTGCTGAGCTAAGTCCTGAACTTTCACAGCAAAGGACAAAGGCTGGGAAGAAAACACATGCCTCAACTCAACCAAGCGGCAGATGAGTGGTTCAGGACAAAAGCTCAAGTCTCCCGCAATCCACCAGAACCTCTTCAACACCCAGCCCACAGCAGGAGTGGGACAGACCTCAGCCCACCAGGCAACCATCAGGGTCAAATTTGGGAATAAGAGTGCAGGACTGACAACGGGGAACATGGAGAGGTGTACGCACAGAAGGAAAGCAATAGACTCAGACCGATTCATTCAGTATATAAACACACAAGAACACGTGTGTACTGGGAAGCAGTTGCTTCTTCTGCCAGAAAGTGTTGTCAGTGGTTCTCCCCCCTACCTTTCCTCCCTATCAGAACAGGAAGATAGCACTCAAAAATGAATTGAGGAAAGGTTTCTGTGGTCAGCAGTGAAACATCGTGGCAGAACCGCTTCAGTGGACAAACAGCAAGGAAGGGAATCACAGCTCCTGCTTCACTGCTCCTAGAACACCCGAAATAGCCAAGGCACAAGAAGTGAGAACAGCCAGTGCTGACTATGAACCCACCCTGAGGACCGCAGAAGCCCACAGCTCAATTCCCTCCTGCTTCCTCTCTCCCCCTTCTTCCTCCCGTGCTCCAAGCAGGAAGAGAGGTAGAGGCCTTGAGTTTGGCTGGGTTTCCACTTTGGGGAAGGAACTCAATATCTGATGGATAGGATGTGAGCACCCATAGAGGAAAAGGATTAGTAACCCTCCTAATCTGTACATTTTAGAGTCTAAGCATTTTACTTTGCTCTCTAATTAAACCACAGAGCAGAGAGATTGCCAGAAGGGAAAGAACAAGAGGGAAGGAGGAAAAGGAACGGAGGCTGTGGCTAAAATGCTGTTCCTAGCAGCTTTCACGCAAGATGGGCTATGCGGGGGTCATTCACAAGGATGTATTTCACCTCAAGGATTTGAACGCCAAGGCTGCTTCACATCCTGCTGCTTCCCGTGAGCCAAGCCCTAGCGAGAGTGAGGGCAAGGGGAAGAGGAAACCCATACAGTGTCCTACAGATGGCAGAGGTGGGAGTAAGGGCCAGTAAGGCAAGGCGAAACTGCACCTGAGGCAGACCAGCCTGGCTGACCAGGACTCACCTCTGAGTCCCTGCCTCCTGTGAAGCCTTCAAGCGCCAAGCCACATTTGTCTCTACTTACCAGACCTGGCTGCACAGAAGTTCCTTGTTCAGGCACTTATCTGGCTCCATCTGGGAGGGGCTGATGTCTTGCTGCCCTGGCACTCATACAGCACACGCAGCTCTGTGCTGGGCTCATTAGGAGCTATCTAGCAGAGAAACTTTCTTGGCACAGGTAAAGAGGGAAACCTTTCTAACACAGCACATGACAAAGCAGTCTGAACAATGTTGTTCCCTTCAGGCTCTATCAAGGCCCCCATGTCAACTCTAAGAGAAGGCAGTAGGCCCAAGCCTCATTCCTTACTGAAGGTGTCCTTCAGCACATAACAGGGACAGCCTCAGAAGGAAAACCAGCAGGCAGTAGGGTCAGAAGAGCTTTGGGCTGCAGCACACAACTGCTCCCAGCACTGTGGGCGAGACAGCTGGTGGCATGGCTGGGAACAGGAAAGGTCTCACCTCCTGAAATACTCTGCCTCCCCCTCTGCCCCACCAGACAAGGGAGAACAGGGGCAGCCTGTCAGTCCCACGTCCTTCTCTTCCCTCACTCCTATTCTTTGGAATTCCTCTCTTCTGTTTGCTTTGTTTCAGCCCTCAATGATCAGGAAGAAAAGGGAAGGAGCCTTGACAAATCCGATCAAGGCACAGACATGCTGAGGCCCCCTCCGCTGGCATGCCAAGCCGTGCACTAATGAGGGATGGAGGAGAGGCAGCGACTGAGAACAGTGGCCCCACAGAAACACTTGGGGTAGGGGCAGAGGGAAAAGAAGTTACTAGAGAAGAATATCAGCACAAGCTCTCCGCCTTCAGAAGAGTGTCATCCCATTTCCCCTGGCACAGAGAGCTTCTTCCAGCTCCTCAGCCCCAGTCCCTGACTGCCCACCACATAAGAAACAAGCAATAGACCACTCTAGCGTTTGGTGAAGAGGATCCTGAAGCATATACTCAAGAGAAGTTAAACTGAGACAGCAAGAGATGGGAGCACACTTCTTTCTACAGATTCATGCAGGAATCTGGTCTTTACCTGCAGAGCTTGCCTACAGAGGATTACAAGTGCCAGCACTGTTACCAGGACTCCCTACACATTCTCAACACACACACGTTTGAACAGGGAGGAAACCTGTAGTGCCACACAATTGCCCCCACTTTACCATATTGAGCACAGAACCTTTGGGACAGGAGGAAAGCAAGCACATGTAACTCATCTACTCAGAAAGCAAGATTACCAACCTTCAGAAGCTTCAGCGTTGTAGGGGTACGTGGCAATAGCTGAAAAAGCTCGCAGGGTGCAGTAGCAGCTGTAAGAACCACCCTCTAAGCAGGGATTCCCATCTTGAGGTGCACAGAGCACATCCCAGCTCTGCTTGAGGGTTTTGCACCTTGCTGTCACCTGAAAACCAGAAGTCACATGAAGAGTTACTGGACAGAAGAGCTCTGGCAACGGGCCCTTGCACAGCCAGGAGCATTATAAATCAGCAGCAGCACCGTCTCACGCCTTCATTCTGCCCCTTTTCCCCAGCTTGCTACCCAGCACAGCTCAGTGCTATTTGAGGCTACCCAACCAGCCCCTGGGAAATGATCCATGTGCTGCATATTCCTAGACCCAGAGCACTTCTGCATCCCGTAGCACATGCCCCACCCACACAAGGGCCGTACCCAGAAGTGCTGGCAGAGCCACCATGCTCCATTACAACACGTGCGAGTCCTCACACCAACTCTTTAGCAGGAGTTGGGAGAGGAACACAAGTCCCCTGGCTCCCTCTCAAACGAAGGCAGCAGCAAGTGTTGAGCTTGTACAGCAGTGAGGAGATTAACTATCACGTTCAGTAACCTGAGCACTGAAACATATCCTGGGCAGTTTGGAGGTGGGTCAGGAGTCAGTCCAGACAGGCACACAGCCCAGAGACAAGATAAAGGCAGAGAGGGGGACAGAGAGAGCCACTTAAACCACGGGGAGCAGAGCAGCCCACACATACCCCTCTGGCTCACATAGGGCTGAGCACCCTTTACCTGCCACAGCAGATGGACAAGCATCTTCAAGCCATGGTAAAACTTCCCAACACATCTTCCTGATTTATCTGATCTGCTTTCTGCTTCACAAAGCAACAGATAAATGAGAGTGCAGCGTACAGCTCCCACTGCATCCCTCTAATCTCAGCAAGATCCCGTACCACAGCACACAGGGAACAAGGTACACAACATCAGTCTGAGAAAGGGCCAGTAGCACTGTAGCACAACAGCTGCTAACTAAGCAGTAAAACCAAGCAACTCTGGTGGAGAAACACAGCACGGGTGCTCAGCAAAACCCTCCTGCAGCAACAAAGCCTCATACTACCTCTGCTCTGCAAGTCTCACACAGTATCAGCAGCTAAGAGCCAAGCCTCAGGCACCCACCTGGAAGAAGTAGCAGAAGCTGCCGGGAACAAAGCTGTGTAGTTCCAACAGCTGCGAGCTGGGCAATAAAAGGCACCTTCAGCAGAGGTGATTGTGAGCAGTGAGAGCTGGGCACATGTCTGCCAAACAAGCTGGATCCTCCCACCACCAAGAGCAAACTCCCTGTACAGGTGTGGCAATCCCAGACGGATGAGGTGGAGCCCACAGTGGCCATTGCTCAGCCAGGAATAGCCCTACAGCAGCACTGCTGCCTGAAGTTCCTAGAGCCATCCCAGTTTACCCCCCCAAACATCCCATTAACCCAGGCCACCAGAGAACTACAAACTACAAGTCCTGAAGTTTTTTCCAGCTGCATCACATAGTTATTAAAAGATACTGCCTCTCGCTCTCAGCCTTTAGCACAGGCTGATTTGGGATACAATGGGAGAGACTGCACATTGCTGATGAATCAGAGCAGGGAGTTATCCAAGCAGCAGCCCAGGGCTCTAAATGGCTTTCTGGAAGAGGCATCTGGAAGCAGGAGGCAGCCATGATCTCACAGCAAGGCTGTGCGCACATTGCCAGGCATGTTGTTCCTCCTGGGAAGCCAAGAAGAGGTGCCAAGTCTCAGCTAAGCTGGGAAGGGCAGCAGCACCATGATAGGGAACAGAAAGAAAATGCCTCCAAGTCAGAGGGCTCACTTAACCCCCCTTTCAGCTTGGCTGATTTGGGTTTTTCTTTCCAGTGGACCACCATTGACACTCTGGGAACACAGGAACCACACCACCACCTTCTCTGCTGGTGCAGCCCTTTGGTTCCCAGCAGGCTGAAAGGGAGCAGGGGACAAGCACACAAGCCACCCACATGGTCTGCTGCAGTTCTCTGCCCACCTCCTCATTTGGGCAGGAATTGGAGGCTCTCCTGAAAGGTGCCCCCACAGAGATGCTATGAGTGCATCAAGCCTTCCATTCTCGTCAGGGCTCATGTGTCAGGGACCAAAATAATCTCTGGAAATGAATCCCCACAAGACATTCGGAGCCAGCCACAACTTATCCCCAGCCATCCCAGAGGGCTGATGAGCTCACCCAAAAGCACATCACAGACATCACAGCATGAGAGCTGAGTGGGGCTGAAAGAGCATGCAGGGGAGACTAGGCCAGAAGGGCCACCCCACACCAGGATAAGAAGGATCCATGCCCCAAACTTCATGCTGCCAGGCTCCTTCACTGCTGGTGGGAGTGCAGCAGGAAGATATGGCTGGGAAGAACACCAACTTCCGCCAGGTACCAACCTCCAAAGGCACAACCATGCATCAGTACATTGAATCTATTCTGCCTTATCCTGTATCCCAGCTCCAGTGCTGGGGAGCGCTGTCTCAGCCCCACAGCAATGCTTTGCCTGGAGTCAGCTGCCCCAGAAGTGGTGCAGTCTGGCAGCTCTGAGCCAAGAGCAAACTGCTGGCAGTCAAGCAAGCTGGACTTCAGCATGGCCCCCGCTGATGAGCTGGCAAAGCATGTGCTTTTCGGGTTTGCTTCTTTTCCTGCCATTACTGCTGAGCCTGCATCCCTCGTCATTGGAGCATAGGAACCGTTTGGCCTCAGTCAGAGGATTTCCAGTAAGCACCAACCTCTGTCACTCCAACCAACAGTAAGTGCAAGAACAGAGCTGTTCAGAGATCCTTCCTGGTAGTCAGGGCAGAAACTGCTCCTTAACCCATCCTTTCACCTTCTGCCCCCACAAGGGATGTTATAAACCAAAGCAATTTAAATCATTCCCAATCTCATGGGCTCTCAGCAGCTCCTCCTGCAGCGAGTGCTCCCTTGCAGCTTATTTACCATAAAAAGGCACCACGATGGTACTCCAACTGTCCTCCAAATTCGCTCACTGCAGGAGGGAGACAGAAAGGCAGACAGGACAAGCAGGGGTGGGGCAGGGAGTGTATCCTCTGCCAAAGAGCCTCTCACTCAGGATGAGCTACTCTATCTGGTGCCACCATTCAGAGTGGCTCAAGGACACGATGCATCAAGCTTCACCTCTGGCTGCGGACAAGGTGCCTCCAGCAGACTCCTCAGCAGCTGGCTCTCAAGTTGCTGTCTGGAAAGGCCAGATTGTCTCCATGAAGGAGAGCAGCCCCAGCAGTCTGCACCGAATATGCCCCCAGAGTCATCAGCAGCATGCAGTGACCATGGATGAGCTGTCCCCGACCTGTCACAGGCTCCGGGTGCCACTTCACCCCACCCTGACACTCACGCCAGCATATCCACTGCTGCATTTCAGAGCAGCTCCAGGTAGCTCTGCATGTGAGCTGAAAGTTGGGTCTAATCCATGCAATTCAGACTGAAGCGGTTTGCTTAGTGCCGGGCTGTTTGCCAGCTGTATCTCGTGCCCTTTTTGAACTCAGCCTGCTGGAAAACAAACCCTCAGGGGAAGGGGGGAGAAGCAGAGAGATCAGAGAGGATAAAGTGCCTGCCCGTGCAACGGCAACGCTCCCGGTGGAGGCTGCGGGCACACACTGCATCCATTGTGCAGAGGTAACCGGACAGGAGGAAGGAGGGGCAGCACGGCAGGGCTCTGTTTGCTCCGGGGCAGCTGCAAGAGGCCATAAAACGCCTTCCTTACCCACACTGTGCACCTTCTGAAGTGCCCTGTGCCCGGCCCAGGTCAGCGGGTCACACAGCCCGGGCCACGCAGACTCAGCACGGGGCCAAGGAGCACCAGTCAGGCAGGGATGGAGCACAGCAGGGAAGAAAACAGCTTCGGTCCCCCGTGCTGCAACAGGCTGCAGCCAGATGCACCCCGTACCTGAAGAACAGGGTCGGCACTTACACAAAGCCCACAGCGTGACCACAGTCACGCGGATCTCTCAGAGCCGCACCGCGTGGCTGCGGGCTGGCCCTAAGCACGTCCCCCGGCTCCACGAGGGCAGGCACACGTATTAGGAAGGGAACGCGAGGCTGCGGGGCACCCGTCCGTGCAGTACAGACCCCCGGGCAGCGCTCATAGGCCCCACAGCAGCCGGACACCGCAGTTCCGACCCTTTGAAGCACGGACTGCTGCCGCCTCCAGAAACAAGCCCCCGACAGGTGCCCAAAGACGGGCGAGCCGAAGCGCTCCGCGGGCACGGCTCTCGTTGGAACCGCCTTCCCGATCCCGGCCGCGACAGGAACGCGTCCGTGAGATCCCTCCAGCGGCTGACAGGCCGGCCGCCGGCCTCCCACCCCTCCGTCCGCCGGCGCGCCCCTTCCCGGCCACAGCGCCCAGCCCACCGCCGCACGCCGCGCCCCGCACCTGCCGTGCCGCCGCCGCCGTGCCTTTAAACCCCCGCCCCGGCGCCCGTCGGCCGTGCAGAGCGGGGCGGGTCGCGCGTGCGCGGTGCGGCGGCGGCCGGAAGCGCGGGGCCGTGCGGGAGCATGGCGGCAGCGGCGGCCCCGTCCCGCGGCGCGGTGCAGCGGCTGCGGCAGCTGTGCCAGCGCTACCAGGAGTACGTGAGGCGGCACCCGGCCGCCACCGCACAGCTGGAGGGCACCGTGCGCGGCCTCTCCTACCTGCTGCCAGGTGCGGATCGGCCCTCGCCCCGCGTCGGCGCCGCGTGCGGCCCGGTGGCGCCGCGTCACGGCCGCGCTCCTCTCCTCTCCCCGCAGGTCGCTTCGCGGACGCCCACGAGCTTTCGGAGCTCGGTACGTAGGGCCCAGGGCGGCGGGGGGCGCGGTCCCGCAGCCGTCTGCGGCGCGCCCGTAACCCCGCGCCGTGTTCCCGCTGCAGTGTACTCCGCCTCCAACCTGCTGGTGCTGCTCAACGACTGGATCCTGCGCAAGGAGCTGCCCCGAGGCCTGCCGGGGGTAAGCGCGGGGGCAGGGCCCGCGGCCGCCGCCGTACGGCTGCCGAACGCTGGGCCGCCGGCCCGGAGCCGAGCGCTCCTCGGGTTCCGGGGATCGGGCCCCGACTTGCGCCCGGAACCGATCCGCTCAGCGACCGTGGCTGTCTGCGGAGCGCCGAAGCTCCGACCGAGCCTTTCTTTGCCCGCGGTGTTGAGCAAAGCGAAGGTGAAAGCAGCTGACTGCTGCCTCTTTCGCCAGATCCCCAGGCCGGCTCCCGGCCCTCAGTTAGACCCTTTGGGGAAGGAGAAGGAGGGCTTCTCTTTTCCCAGACAGCCCTCTGCTGCACGCCTGCCTGCCCGCTGGGCCTGGATGTGGGTTGCTCAGTGTCAGTCCGCGCAGGCGGCCCTGGCCGGAACACGGGGTATGTGACAGCCATCTGAGCAGAAGACTCGCTTCCCTTGGTGATAAAAGCTGAGCGTGGGGTGAGGTGAATTTCAGCTATATCTTCTTTGTGGGTGCTTTTCACGTAATATAGGCTGTACTTCACGGTGAACAGCACCGGCAATTTCTGTTGCTGAAAGAGTCCGGGCTGCTGTGGGCTTCATGCCTGGGATCCAGACTGATGCTATAAGTTTGTACTTGGCAGGCATTTGCTTCAGAGCAGCAGTGGACCCTGTGCTCCATCAGTGTACCCATCAGCTGTGCCCGGGGAAGAGGGTCATCAAGTGTCCCAGCTCTAGAAAGAGGAGGAGGAAAGTTCTGCCGTTGGATTTCAGGCATTGTGCAGCTACCCAGGAGACTGCTAGTTGCTTCACTTCAGATAGAAAGCAAACTGGAGTTCAGCTGTGATATCTTCCCCATTTCTGGAGTTGCAGCTGCATATGGTACAGTGATATCCAGGTCTGCTCCTGCACAGAAGTAGGGAAACAGGCCTGCATGTAGGCTCTGGCCGTAGGAGAGGAACCACTTCTTGTTTCTGAGGCTCTGACTTCCAGGGCCATTGCTCCTTCAGCTCCAAGAATCCCACCAGACTAGGCTGTGCATCTTTCCCTTTCAACTTGCAAGCAGAACCTCCATCCTGTCCCCCTTTCCTGTGTTTTGCAGTCACTGCCCCAGCAGAAGCTGCTGACCTGGCTGAGCGTGCTAGAATGTGTGGAGGTCTTTGCAGAGATGGGGACAGCCAGGGTGTGGGGGGAGATGGGCCGATGGACCATCATTGTCCTCATCCAGCTGGCTAAGTAAGTGCCACAGGCGGTGGGGAAGGGGGCTGCATGTGCTTGGATGTGCAATCTGGAGGGGTCTTGGCATTACCCCAGGAAAAATCCCATGCAAGACTGAGCAGCCGGTCCCTGAGGCTGGGGGAGTTTGGAGCCTCCTGCAGTGTGGAGTACTGTGCTGCAGAAGGATGCCTCTCACGTCTTCCCTGAGCAGACCTGAGTGTTTCCCTCTTCTGGGAATGTCATCTTTTGGGCACAGCACAACCCAGCTCCACAACTGAAGGCTTCCTGTGTGTCTGCCCGCAGGGCCATCCTCCGCCTCCTGCTGCTGCTGTGGTATAAAGCTGGCATCCAGACGTCTCCTCCTATAGTGCCGCTGAACAGGGAGCAGCAGCAGTCTCTCCACTCTGAAGGTGAGCTCTCAGTGCTGTCCTTAGTTTGGGAAATACTGGCTGAATTGTGGCTCAAGCTGTGAGTCCACTGCTCTGATGGTTCTGGGTAATGCCAAGCAAATGTCTCTCTTCACCCTTTGAGAGCTCTGTAATGTTAGCACTTTGAGGATGGTCCACTTTGAACTAAATCAAACTTTTGGTCCAGTCTTCTTGCTGACAATATAGAGACCAATTGAGATACATTCCTTTGGAGCCTCACCCCTGTGGCTGTTTTCTCCTGCAGATGTGGAAGGCAGCTCCTCAGGGAAAGATCAGACCTACATTGGTAGGCGTTCCAGCCGTGTTGTGAGATCTCTCCAAAATAGTAAGTAGCTGAGCCTGTTTTCTGTGTTTGTCTGAGCTGCTTCTGTTCTGTGCCCTTGATATATGGTCCTGTATGTGGGCAGTAAAGAGCAAAAAACCTGATTAGCTTGTATGGGGGTGTATCCTGCCAGTCACTGGGCCCCATGGGCAGGGAAATACTAAAGCAATGGGAATTCTCATACATGGTGCAAGACCAGTGGTAGTTCTGCTTTGAGAAACATGAATCTTAAGAATATTTCTCCCTGCTGCCTCCCTTGTTCAGGCAAGCACTGAGGGTGCTGTTTAGTGGCAGCAACAAGGAAGGTGCAGCCATAGTCTTGCTGCTTGTGCTTCTCTTCCAGCTCACCTGCTTCACAGTGCAGAGAGATGAGCTTGACTATAGGGAGGTACTTGTTATGTGAGTGACCTGATGTGCTTGTTTCAGCTCCTTCCCTGCAGTCCAGGCACTGGGGATCCCCCCAGCAGAGGGAGGAGACACAGAGCCGAAGAGCAGAGGAGATGAACCAGCCTCCCACTCCTCTGGGTCTCCAAGAAACCATTGCAGAATCGATCTATGTTACCCGTCCTCTGCTCCACTGTATCCTGCCCTGGCTACATGAGAGCAGGCTCTGTACCCCGGGTGCCAGCAGAGGGTGCTGTGGGCTCATCTGCTGAGCCGTGGTGTAGAATCACCCCATACTTTTCTTCCTGCTCCTGCTTTGCTTGTGCAGGGGCCTGGGAACTCCTCCATTGCATCTTGATGGCCAGCATCAGCCAGTTGAGCTATGTGCACAAGACCTCCAGTCCCTTCCCTAGAGCCTTCCAGCAGTGCCCAAGAGTGTTTTCTTTTGGGCTCTGTAGAGCTTTGCTGATACCTAGCAGGCTGCTTGTCTGGCTCTGTGCCTCTTGTTAGGCCTGTTTGGTTCTTTCTATTCCTTGACTGTGCATTCCTAGTATTGAGTTTGGGAGTGTGGGGACAGAGATCATGGAAACCCTGGCTCCTCTCAGCAGTCCTGGATATCTCGAGGTCAGTCTTTGTGGGTACTTGCTGAGAAAAATCACACTTCCCCATGCTTCCCAATCCATGGCAGGCCCTACTGCCAGAAATGTGTGCAGGGGCTAGCCTTGTTTTTAACTGGGCGATGAACATGTTTGGGTATTTTCTGTAACACAGTACTCTGTTCTGGTGCAGACTGCTCTGTAGGGACCTGAGGGCAGAGAGCATTTAGAAACTCACTTTAATTTTCCTGTCAGCTGCTGTTGCTGTAAGTTCACTTTCTGCTCCTCTCCTTCCAGTTTGAGCTTGCTGAGTGATCTGAAAGACCTGAACAGGAGAGAGCGAGCAGAGCTGAGGAGACGAACTATCCTGCTGCTGTACTACCTGTTGAGATCTCCTTTCTATGACCGATACTCAGAGTAAGGGGCCCTGTTGAGCTTTTGCTGAGAATTTCCCTTTGAACAGAAATAGCATCAGGGGACTGGGTGAGCAGATCTGAAGAGGTCTGGGTGCCTGTGACCAGGTTAATACAAGCCCCTTGCCTAACTCCTGCTGTCACTGTTAACGTGTTCAACAGCTGGGATGGGAGATGTCCCACTGAGCTCATTCATACTCTTTCCATTACTAGGGCAAGGATCCTCTTCCTCCTGCGTTTGTTGGCTGATTACGTGCCTGGACTTGGCTTTGTCACACGTAAGTGGGACCCATTGCTTTGTCCCTGTTCCTACGAAGAAAAATCATGGGAGTTGAGTAGAATATTTGTTGAGGAGCTTCTGACCTGAAAAAGGAATTGGGATGTCCCTAGGATGGTTAGCTTCACTGTACCTTGTATTGGTACTGGAGTTGCTTTAAGATGGACCAGAAAAAGATTGCAACCTGTACTCAAACCACAGTGGTAGACTTCTGGATTCCCTCACAGGCTGCAGAGGTTTGTCCCTGCCACCTACACCTGTTCCCTTGGGCTGCCTTTCTGCAACTACAGCACAGCACCAGAGCCCTGCTTCTGAATCCTTTTCCTTGATCCCCAGTCTGCAATACAGATGTGAGGGGTAGCTGTCAAGAGGTATTAACCCAGCTAAGAGCATATTATAAACCAAAAGCCCAAAAATAAAAAACCAAAATCAGGTCTGTTTTCTCCTAGTCCTTCACACAAAGATCCCTTTTTTATGGGCCAGATTTTCACCTACCCCTCTTCCCTGATGATGTGAAACTGTTTCTGGAGTAGTTCATGGCACTGATATGGAATTAGATTGGATTGTGGAACTGTCCTTTCTTTGAGGAAGATACAAAGCTGGCTAACTCAGGAGCCACTCCTCCAGTTAATGATTACAGAGAGGCTTTGAAATGCAGGCTTTCTCTCTGCATTAAACCTTGTGCCAGCATAAGCATTTTTTGCTATACAGCACTTGCTTTTGTGTTTGCACCTGCTCATTACTGCTGAGCAGTCTCTCTTTGCTGTGTCCTCTTGACTCACTGCATGCAGGTTTTTCCCTTGGTCATTGTCAAAGTCCCTTCCCACCAGAACCCAGGTGTGTCAGCACTGAGAGAGAGGTTTCCTACATCATGCCTGTGCTGACCAGGTTTCATGCATTCCTTGGTCCTGCTCTAAACTCTGTCACTACATCCCAAAGTTGCCTCCCACCTTGGCAAAAATAACTATTCTGTTATGGGTTTCTTAGTTTTGAAAGGGGAGGTCTGGAACTGCTGGGTATCATAACATGGAGCAGGTACTGGCACCATTTGTGTACATCTTTTGATCTTTGCCTTTCTAAATGTGAGATGTCTCTGTTTTCTCATTTCAGGGCCACTGATGGATTACTTGCCTGCCTGGCAGAAAATCTATTTCTATAACTGGGGCTGATGAGAAGATTATGATTTTTATTTGCTAAGATCAGGGATGGTTGTTTCTAGGGAGGGCTGGGGGAAGGCATGTTGATTATATCTAATTTTCAGTTAAACCATCAATGAGAAGCTCCTGTTCTGCAGGGCGGGGAGGGGGATGTAAATAACTTTTTAACAGATCTGGCTGTGAATGATGGACACTACATGTGTGGAGAGACCTTGGCCACCTCTTTCTATGAACTGTTGTGGCTGCAGTGATAGTGACGGGACAACTTTTTTTAAGCACTTGATTTTTCTCCTTTTGTATGGCTGCACTACACTAAAGCCAGGCAGCGTAGAGATTTTTGGAGAGCATAGTCTCCCACTTTGTGGCTTTGAGACTGACCTGCAGCCTGCTTGTGTTGGCCATGCCTGGCCGATCTGCTTGGAGCGGGCTTGTCTGTCAAATAAACTGACTGAAAGAACTGAGCTGAAGGAGCTCTTTTCCCTTGCTTACAAAGGATCCCCTTTGATTTGGGTTGCCAACAGTTCTATCAGGAAGAGCAGTTTTTGCAGTTGTCTAGCCTGGGATATGCTGGTCCCATTTCTGTATCGTCCTTTAGAAGCCTTTTGCTCTGGCCTAATTGGGCAGAGCCCTGCATGTTGCTTAGCTGATGGCTGTGTCTGTAACTCCAGGTGCCTGCCTGGTTCAGTCCCAAGTTTCCTGGGGTTCATCTTGAGGCTAGGAGAGCTGCAGTTTGTAGGCTGCTTTCTAGTACCGTATGCATACTAAATAGGATTGCAGAATGGCTGCCATCCGGTGCTTAGGGACTTGGCCAAGGGCAGAGAAGACAACTGAAGGATTGAGCAAATACTGCTGTGCAGCATTTAATAAAGGGTCTAGCTGAGGTTTGGACAGCTATGGCCATATTCATTATCACCTCTGCTCATGTAAGACATCAGTTTAGCTAGTCACCCAGAACAGGGTGTAGCCAGCCCCTGGCACTGGGCTGCCCAGAGAGCAGCAGCTCACCTGCGCACCCAACTCTGGGAGCCAGAAACCTACCAGTGGTGCCACCTGGTTCTGACCAATGGTGAATTGGCCATGTGAGTGACAGCAGTCCTACCTAAACCATCCTCAGGGGCCTCCCAGGATACAGGAGTCACAGCCCTCTTCCCCTACCCCAGTTTGGCTGCTAAGGTGAGGTGCATCCCCTTACTAGGCCATGTAGTAAGGGGACCTAGGGCTTGGCCCTGCATGGCATCTGTGTTACCACCACATGGCAAAATGAAAGTCATGAACTGAGTGAACTGTGCTCCATTCATTTGGGAATTTGAAAAGGAGGGAGTGCAAGAAGATAAAGCCTAGAAAGAAGAGAACCAAAAAAGAAATTCTTTACTGTGAGGGTGGTGAGACAGTGGAACAGGTTGCCCCGTGAGGTTGTGGATGCCCCCTCCCTGGAAGCATTCAAGGCCAGGCTGGATGGGGCTTTGAGCAACCTGGTCTAGAGGGAGGTGTCCCTGCCTACTGGAGGGGGGGGTGGAACTACATGATCTTAAAGGTCCCTTCCAACCCAAACCATTCTATGATTCTAAGTACAGGAGAGGAAAAGTTCTTGGGCTACCTGGTGGTTCCTCTGTGACCTCAGTGCAGAATGTGACAGTGGTGGGTACCAGAGCTCAGCATGCAGTGCTGGCTCTTGCTGCTCACTGTGCTACTGGGGGCTGTGCTCCCTCTGCCCCTGCGCCAAAGGTGATGACTCCCCCACCTCTTCCCTGCCCCAGTACCTGCAGTGGTGCCACGGGGGCTGGATGCTCCTTCTTCTGTAACCAGTGCTCCTGGACCAGGCTTGGGCTTGTAGTGTTGATGGGGGCAAGTTCTGGATGGAGAGCTTCGGGCTCATTCCCACCTCTGGTTTTCTTCTGCAGCTATTTTGTCCCTGAAGACTTCTCTGCCCCCTTAGAACTCCCACAGCAGCACTTTGGCTTGGTGGATGGTACAGCTCTTCCCTTAAATTCCCTCCCATGTGCTCATTTGTCCAGTGATGACACAGACAGCTCCTGAGCCCTCACCCCACTGTCTACCCACAGATTATGGCATTAAACCAAAACAGCCTCACTTCAGGACCGTAACACCCCGGGAACAGCCAGCAGGACTGCAGAGGGCTGGCAAAACCAAACGTGATGAGCTTGACTTGGAGTACTACTATGATGCCCAGCTGTGAGGGACAGCAGGGCACTCAGGTAGGTGTGGGGTGCAGGAACAAGGGCTCTCCAGCCACACTACAGGATAGGAGAAGCTGGAGGAGCTGGTGTTTCTCAGCCTGAAAAGGAGAAGGCTGAGAAGGGTTATTATTGCTGTCTTCAACAACCTAATGGCAAATACAGGGAAGCTTTAGCCAGAGTCCTCCTGGCACTGTAAATGGAAAAACAAGAATTAAGTTACATGAAGATCTTACGGTAGTCTCTGACCTCCAAGGTTTGCTAACCTGAGAAACTCCAGCTCCTTTTGGGCTCCCCAAGGGAAGGAACAAGCCAGGGCCCAAATGCACCCAACACAAACAGCACTGCAGCCCTGCTCCATGAACCATCATATTTAATAGTTGCCATCACAGCAGATCCAGCTGAAGCACAGAGACCGCTGGCAGGGAGCAGGAGAGCTTTTGTATCTCCCTGGAGATGTGTACGGCTCCCTGCAGGCATTAGCCCTTCCCTGCTCTGTTTCTGGCAGGCACCCCAGTCTGCACAGGGCTGAGAACCACCGCAGTAGGGAAGCTCAGCCCTGTCCTGCCTCTGCCACCTGCAGCTGGAGGGGATAGAGGGGGACAAGGACAGAGAAATGCTCCCTTCCCCATGGTGTGGTCACTGCAGAGAGGTAGGAGGAAATCTTCCTTTCCTCAGGGCATGGATACAAGAGAGGAGGGATGGGGGCAGAGGCAGGGGTGAGCTGTCTCAGCTCATTCATCCTTTCTCTGGCACTCAAAGAGGAGATGCTGGGCTCTATCCTTCCTGTCCAGCAGCCTCGTCCCCGGGGCCAGGCAGAGAAGTGATGGTCTCTGCCCTGGCAGGAGCCATCATACAGTTCTTGTTGGCTGTAGCTTCTGTGTCTTCATCCTGCAAGAGTCTGACTCCGCCAGTGCATTAGAAGTCACCCCTGAGGGATGTGACGGGAAGCTGAGCCATGGTCACAGCGAGGAGATGTTTTCACCCCAGCTTGCATCATTGAAGGGCTGGAGAATGCCAACCCCTCCAGCAATCACAGACTGGGCAGCCAGTGGGCACTTCTCAAATAGAATAAACTAAGTATTTTGTACGATAAACACGATTTGTCCAGCCCTCCCCCCTCCCATCACCCCCAGCCTGAGGAAGGGGAGCCATGAAAAGAGGCAGCACAGGGTCCAGGGAACAGCTCTCAGGGCCCTCTTCCAATCTCAAAGCAGCTCTTGTCCATGCACGACGCAGAAGAGGCTAGACTGCAGCCCTGGCTGTGCAGCAGGTGCCTATGCCAGCCCCTACTCCAGGTAGATGTCTTCCGTAGGGCACGTGTACTCCACATACTCCTTGTAGAATTGCTGAAAAGCCCTCCTGCAACACAGCATGGAGCAAACCTCAGCTGTACCCTCCCCATAGCATTTACAGAGCCCATTTTGCTTCCCTTCTCCCCCTTGCTCCATCCTGCTGTCAAGTCAAACCCAGATCCAGCTCTGGGAGCCTCGTGCATTAGTGCCCAGAGGTGCTGCTGGAACAAGGCCTCCATCTCAGTTCTGAGCTTCCACACAGCCCCTGGGTTTCAGCCATCTGCCTGCAAAGCTTTGCACTGGGACTTGTTCCAGCACTGTCAGGAATATGCTGCCCATAGCAGCGTCAGCTCTGGCTCTATCCCTGAGCCTCTCACTGTAGGGAAGAGGTGCCAGGTTCTCGTTCCTCCTGTCCCTCAGGAGGGAGCACCTTCCTCCCACCCCAGGACTTACCCTACAGACTCCGCCAGAGGCTTCGTGGACTCCTCTGAAACAAAGACGTGGCAGGCAAATCTGTGGTCAGCAGGATGCTTGGTAATGAACCCAAAATATCTGAGGGTGAACAGAGCAAGTGAGATTGGATTGGCAGACAGGCAGAAATAAATACCTGTGCCTGCCCTTGGCAAAGGGGTTTGGGATTCAAACCCCAGCAGTGAACGCTTCCCAGGCCCATATCAGGGATGTAATTCCCACCCAAAGGCTGCTCCTCACATGAAGCTGTGGGATGATGATGCTGGGAGCAAGAAAGCAGTGATGCCTCCATGTGTTAAAGCACTGATAGCTGCCCCATCTTCCTGCTACTCACTTGTTGTTCTTTGGATGGTATCCACAAAAGGAAATGTTCTTCAGCTGGAAAAAATGGCTACACTTGTTTACCTGGGGAACAGATAAAAGAACAGTCAAAGCTTTCTTCCTCAGCAGTTCTGTGGGACAGTTGGACTCCAGCTTTAGAAATAGGTGCTCAGGCTGAGCCCAGCTCTCCAAACAGTACCCACAGCCACGCTCCTGTACCCCACCCACAGGGGAGGTTTCCAAAAGCTTGCTGGGAAGGTTCACTTGCCTCTGCCCAGCATCTTGCTGTGCTCTGTTAGGCTTCTTATGGAGACCACTAATCAGCAGCTTGCAATGCCCAGCTAAAGAGATTACAGGGAAGATCTGGAGGACACCACTCTAAATAGCAGCAGAAAGGTTTAGGAACAGCTGACGGATTAGGGGTGCAGCTCAGCTCAAAGCATCCTAGCACAGCAACATGCCTGGCATCTGTGAGGGCACCATTCTGATGTATAGCCCAATGCTGGGATCTCACTAGGCTTCAGGGACCTCAATGGAGGACCTACAACCCTTTGGATGGTATTTCTAGAGGAACAAAGAGCACATGGGATGGAAGCCCTTAATTTCTATGTGAACATGCATGGGGGCACCAGCAAGCTCAGAGTAGCAACAGTAGAAGGGATGAGGTGAGCAGGGCACTACCTTGCTGTGCTCCTTGGAGTCATCAGCTTTCACAGCTATCTTGACCCCACGCACGCTGATCTCCAAAACACAGCTGGAGGGTGGGTTAAAGTGCACAGTGAGGCGGCGCGTGGTGGCAATCTGGGAAGGGAGACACAGACATAAATCACTGGCACTCACAGGCAGCATGTGAAGATGGCCCACCCCTTCCCATCTCCTCCCTGCTCCTAGGCAGGCTCAGCCTGCAGTGGGACACTACCTTCTGCATGGCCGCGCACAGTACATCATTGCCTTTGTGATAGGGAACCTGCACCGAGCCGAGGAACTTCACCCGAAACTGGTCCACCCAGTCGTTGCTCTTGGCCAGAGCTAGAAGACAGAGCATATGGCAAGGATCACCTCTGTTGGCCATCTCCATGTTTTCATGGTGCAAACCTGCACCATTCCCCATCCGGCAATGGATGCAAGCTCTGACCACTACTGGCCGGAGCTGCCCACGGCCACGTCATTCCTTGCCTAGTGTCCTCCTTCCACCCCCTGTTCCGTGGTGAGGACGTGGGCAGGAGATCAGGGACATAAGCAGTACGGAGGCTTGGTACCTGTTATATGGTCTGGGTCTTTGGTGACTTCGATAGCGTAGTAGGCAGGAAAAATGCCCCGATCCCCTGTCCGCATGTTGTAGGCCTCGTACCAATAATCTTCTGCCTGCACCTCCACCAGCAAAGGGTCATCCACCTCCAGCTCCAGCTCGTCCGCGTGGCGAGGCACAAACCTGAGCAGGGAGTCACTAGCACTGTGCTGGCTGGCAGCTCTGGTGGCATGCTCACCGACACACCTCTGGAGCAAGGGCAGTGCAAGGCCTGCGGCCGGCGCAGCTGGGGAGCAGGTGGAAGGAGCTAAGATCTGATGTGCTAAATAGAGACCTGAGTGGGTTCAGGCTCAAAAGGAGACAGTACCTGGCACTAATGCGAGGTTTCCCCTATGGCATCCCCCATGTGGCTCCCAGTGTGGCTCCTGGGTGCCCTGGGAGGTCTCTCACCCTTGGGAAGATGTTGCCCAGCCACTGCCTGGCTCCTGCTGGGCCTACTACCAGCCTAAGGACTGTGGTTTAGTTCACAGGCTTCCCATGCTAGAAACTACATGGTTTGGGTAGGACCAGAGGACACTGCTTGTGCCCTGCACTCACCTGAAAACAGCACGGTGGGTCTGTTCCTGCTCCTCACCATTGATCATGCAAGAGAACAACCCAAAGGACTCAGCACCTGGGGAGGAAGGTAGAGGGGCATGCTGCAGCTTTGAGGGGTCAGCACTACACACAGGGAAGGACAAGACCCTCAGCTCACGTCTCGTGGCCTTAGCTAAGGTTGCGCTGTCTTGGCCGTATCTCACACTAGACAAAAAAAAACAACAGCTTGACAACTCCAGCTACCCCTGCCTAAAGCTCACAAAGCTTTTCCAGCCGACCCCTCCCTAATCACAAGCGAAGAGGTCGCAGGCTGTAGGACCAGAGCCTGCTGAAGCTTCTCCATCTCATGGGAGGCCCTGCAGGGCACCCTGGGCTGGGCAAGCTGGTACCAGAGCTAAGCAAGGCTGCCTGGGGACACAACCCCCAGCCCACATCCTCCCCCGGCCCAGCACTCACTGGAGGAGCGTGCCCGGCCACTCATGAAGACGTTGAGGAACTTCTTGGAGAAGTGGATGTCCGCCTCGGGGGTGGAGTCCTCTGAGAGGCAGACCGAGTCGCGCTTCAGAGCATCCTCCTCATACTCCTCGCCGATGGCTGACTCATAGGGTGAGGAGACGCAGTTGTCATAGACGGTAGCCGAGTCACTCTCATCACTGTAGCCCGAGTAGCACTGCTTGAGGCTGACCAGCTCCAGCTGCACGTTCTCATCCACCACCAGCGTGTACTTGACCGAGTCGTAGGAGAGGGCGCTGGTGTCCGAGCTGACGGATGCTCTCTGAAGGCCATGGCCTGGCCGGTAGCCACTGCTCCCACCACCACAGGAGGCCCGGGGCAGGCTCGTCTTGTCAGGAGAGGACATGTAGTCCAGCACCTCATCCTCCTCACTGATGGAGGGGTTGGTTTTCCCAGCCAGGGCTGAGTAGCTGGAGGTGTCGATGTCAGAGCTGATAGACATGCGGTTCTCACTGGACTGTGACAGGAACGGCTTTTCGGTCTCCAGCGGGTCCGAGTTCTTCTGCACGGGTGTCAGGTAGATCTCCTCAGTGGCCTCCAGCCTCACGTCTGTCTGGTAGCGGATGCGGTCCCGGTGGGCCTCGGGGGCCCTCGACGTCACCACCACCACGCTGGCACCGTGGGGTGGGGGTCGGCTGGCAGCCTGGTGTTTCTCGGGGGGCCGGGATGAGGCAACACAGGCAGGTGCCATCTGAGTGGCTGCCGTGCGCCGGCACGGGCTTTCTGTGGATGTGCCCCGGTCTTTGGTGGAGGTTGTGCTGTTCTGGTGATTGACCTCATCACTCAGGCAAACGTGGTCATGGGGAGGGGTCTGCTCACCTGTGAGGAGAAGAGCAGTGTTGGTGTTCCCACTGATAGGGACACCCCCGACTCAAGCTGGACACATGCCCACTGGGGACATTTTCCCAACCTTCTGTTTCAGCAAGGTTTGCTCCAGGCCCTGGGACAGGGATCGACTCCTAGGAAGTACCAAGGAATGCAAGCATCTGCTCTCAGACAACTCACCCGTCTTCAGAGGGGACGATGACCGGGACACCCGCTCTTGCCAACTGTGCTTTTTCCCCAGAGAGTTGTTATTCAGGGTGTCCTGAGGAGGAGAACAAAGCCGCCTTGTCACCCGTGCAGTAAACAGCACGTGGCGCCTGTCCCTGCCCGCCCCACAGCATGGGCAGCAGCCAGAGCCATCATGGCCCCTGGGCAATGCCTGGGACTGCCCAAGAGCTTCTTCAGGGTCACTGTGACCATCCTCATGCACAGCCAGGGCACCTTTTGCTCCCAGACTTTGCAGATGGTTCTGGGGACAGCATGGGTCTTAGTCTCTCTGCAGCAGTTGCATTTTCTGCGCTGCTAGTTTTTGCTCAAGCACCAAGCTTGGGATTCTTGGGGTTTTCTCCTGCAGCCATCAAAAGCAGCACAGGAGCTGCCCTGCTCTTCCAATCAACATGAAGCAATCCTCTGCCTTAAAGCCCACTAAGATTCATGGGATTCCCTGTCCTGTCCTGGAGCACAGGGACTTTGCGTTCCTGCTGCCAGCCTTATCAGACCCTGTGTGGAAAAGCTCCTGTCCTCAAGTCATCAGCACAGCCCATGCCCATGGCTCCCAGTGTGCCCACAGTCTCCACCATCCCCTACAAGGGCACCATCATCTCCCCCTCCCCAGCCCACCATCTACACAACCCAAA